TTAATAACTGCTGGCAATCAGCCCATGTCGGGTTATGTGTCTGAACTATCGAGGTGAACAGATCGGTCATAGCTTGTGGTTTCTCAGTGTACGAGGAATTGTGGGTCTTCCAATTCAAGAGATCGGTAGTCGTGAACGGGACATATACGAAGACTGGGTCAGCATGTGCCATTTGACCTGCGGCATCGATATAGGCTGACCCAGGATTCAGGCGAAGAGGCATCTGATAATGTTTTAATTGTTGGGTACCGGTCAGTTGTCGGGTTAGTATGGGGCTACGTGGAGGGGCGTCAGTTAAAGGTTCCGGTCGAGAGGTAATAGGGCATGAGGATGTGGGAACTTGATTTTGGGAAAAGTTAGTGAATAGTATACTCCGAGCCGAGCTAGAAGAAGCTTGACCGGAAGTTTGAAGTGGCGCCAAATCAGGATATTCAAATCTAATGGGGGTTGGTCCTGGTTCCGGAAGGGGAGTTTTAATACGAGGGGGGGTGGATTCTGTACTGGAGGAGGAAGCGGAAGTGGATGGGGGCAATAGGGGAAGGGGTGCAGAGCTTCCTGCATTCGCGTCACTTCCTCTTAAAGGAAAGTAAGGGGGCGGCAAAGGGATCTCGGACTCAGGGGGCGTGTCCAAAATGGGCCTAACACCAGTCCTAGTGGACAAACAAGTCCTGGCCACCATGAGGCGACATTGCTCCTCGTGGCATATCCGGATCCATTTTGGCGAGTCGTTTACGGCCTGCCCCCAACAATCAATGTATGGAAACTGTCCGTAAAGTTCAGGCCTACCTGACACAGCCACGTGTACACGCTGTACCAGGGTTGGATCCAAACTGCCACGCGGCGGCCATGCCGCAACCAAAATAGGCCACTCCCTAGTGCACAAAGTGACCAAACGTACAGGAGACATTTTAACCCCAAAATCACATGTTTTGAATCCCTTTTTAAAATTCTTTACCATACAACCTAAGGGATCCGAAATCGTTGACTCTGACGCGCCCATACTTATCAATGGAACGTCGTTGACAACGAATACTATGCACGCGTTCTTATTCAACAGTCACACCCGTTTCCTCTGGCAACAGCACCACGTGGTACAGTTACCGAGTGAAACGTACACAATAACACAATAATCACTCAGGGAATTCCCGTACACACACAGCTGTTACACCAGTCACTAAATAATCAATATTATGCCCTTTGGCGAAACTATACAGTCACCCACGCTATAATTCTCTATATATGAATTACCCGTCTATAACACACCCCAGTAACATCGTCTTTTACTAGTATCGGTTACAGTACGGTTAGCATAGGTCAAAGCACAATTTAAGGTCACAATACAATTATTAGTGGTTACGGTGTTAAACATGCAATAGACGACAATGATTAGTACTTATATACAGTGTCAGTAAATATACAGGGTTATGGTACCGTGCACTATGATACAGCAACACACTATTAACACTCTCGCTAGACGGCTGAGCTCGCGCTATCTAACAAGATATACACTTTACTAACAATCTTTAACACATTTACAATCCCAACTAAACTATTGGCCAGTACCTTGAATGGACTACCTAAAACTATATACACCCGTTTTGGTTAGCCACACTGCCCAAACACCACATATAGCGAACTAGAGGGCGAAATTTACAAAATTGCCCTTCTAGTCTATTTACTCTATCAAAAGTCTAGTGGGTTCCAAATTTACACGCCTTCCCACTTAGCCAAGATAGGTTGAGAGCTAGCGAACCGAATTTACACAGGCGCCGCTTAGTCTCCCGGTCCCTCCGACCTAGCGAACGTAATATACACCCTAGAACGCTAGTCTAGACAAGACACCGGTGTCCGGCTAGGGCTATTTACACAGGACCCCGCCTGACTAACCAGATCAAACGGTCTTACTAAAGAGCGTTCGATCGAGCGGTGCGCCTTCGCTCCTTCCCTCCGACAGAGGGGGCAGATTCCATACACAGATTTAAACCCCTTTTGGGCCTACCGCACAATCGGTATACCCCTAGTGGGTCTGCCGTCTAAAACAGCAGTTGTCTTACCTCCTCGTTCCTGAACCTGAGTTCACACTCATCGACGGGGACACCCCAGCACTTCTTACGTAGAGGCCGATGATCTCCTGGACAACAGACCAGTGGCGCCGAGACGAAGGGAGGTCCACGCAGAAGTTCAGGGGTGCAGCCGTAGAGAACGTGGGCAAAGATAGACCGTCTCACGCCTCTGCCTCTCAGCTACCGTTGAACGATGAGCTTCCCGGCCAATGCACCAAATGATACCGGAGAAACTGACGGAAGCAAAGCACAGAGGGATGGACACAGGTTTCTTCAGGAAGGAAGAGATTCTTTATTGGATCACCGATCGGGACTCAGAGGGACTAATGTCACCAAAAATACAGCAAGTTCTGAGCCCTGAACAATAGTGCAGGCTCCCTATATAGGCACATAACTCCTCCCATATTAAGCTCCACCCGCACATTCTCTTGACCAATCATTACAAATAAGAATTAACTTCCTGCTTGACCGCATGGCTTGTCCAGCACAATGGAGGAGGGGAATACTACATCCTGTATTCTTGCACATGCTCCGTACACTACTGATCGTATCTTGCCTCGTGCAACCAACTGATCGATACGTCAGCATATGCACGTACACATGCCACGTGGTAATCTCGGCCTACTAAATTTATTTTTACCGAGATTCCACCTCAATACAATCTACACCATGATTCCTTTTAAATCACTAAGCCAATAAGTAACTCATGATAATAAAGAAAGAAAAAAAAAACTGGTTCAGCGAGATATTAATCGTGACAAATTCAAATTGTAGGCCAAAGTGGAGATATTAATCCTGTCCATTTCTTTTGGCCTAAATTGTGCACTTCCCTTGTCAAGTCGATATTTAAAGAATATCGTTACATAACTCCCAACTTATAAAATGGACAAAGAGGGGCACTTTAATTTTAGGGGTGTGAGTAGGAGTGTAGCCAGGAGTGGTTTGTTCTGATAATTTTATAGGTGACCTAACAATAACAATTTATGAAACTAAATGTACTTTAGAAAAATAACAGTGTATCTTACTTACACAAAACTAATGTCTAAACATACTGATTGTTGTTTAACCCCTTAAGGACCAAACTTCTGGAATAAAAGGGAATTATGACATGTCACACATGTCATGTGTCCTTAAGGGGTTAAGGACATAATACTGTGAGTATTAACGCTGTGGACAAGGAGGACATTAAGATATAAAAGAGGTAGAGAAGGATTTGAGACTGAAATAGGGACTGTCCTCCTTAAACAGGGACGCTTGGGCAGTATGTGGTTATGTGAACTGCAATATTTAGGTTAACATAAACGAACTGGAATAATTCTCCAAAATCAAGTTTGTTCACTAAACACGTCTCTGGTATGCCACTTCTGGGGACATCAGAGGAAAGTCTCCAGTAAGCGGAGTGGAAGTAAATCATTAAGTGTGCTTGTGTTCTGCAAATAAAACCCAGGGATCCATTCTCTAACAGGGTTATTCACTAAAGTGAGAGTTCAAAGTGAGTTTCAAATTTAAGACTAGAGTAGCTAAACTGGTAGCAAAGCTGTCTTAGAATTTCTCCAGTTCGGCTATTTTAATCTTAAATTTGAAATTGACTTTGAATTCTCATTTTAGTGAATAACCCTCTATGATACTGGAAGTACGGAGCCACAGGCTACACTGTGCAGGGTGAAGAGGCAGGTTTATTTTATTATGGTCCAAAAGGCAAAACAAAAATAAAACGCTGCGGCATGTATGTTAATACATGATAAAGACCTTACTGGCGGAACGCTGTATATTTATTTTGTCTTTTGGACCATAGCAAAATATACCTGACTCTTCACCCTGCACCGTGTAGTCTGACGGTCTATACTTCTGGATTTATATGGGGGGCTAGCGGACTACCCCCACAGAGCTATCTATGATTCTGATTCTATAGCGTCCTACATATGGGCTACCCTGAGTGTGGTTAGCCAGCATGGTGGGCCAGTTAGCCTTGTGCATACGTCAGGCTGACCTGCTCCATTTCTGGGCACGCTCCCTCTTAGCCAGCTGTATGCTGCACCCATACATGACCATATTAGGAGGTTTAAATTATGTCAACCACAATGTTTTGATTAACGTGACCGAACGAGGGGATTTGCTGGCGCTATATGAATAATAAAAACTAGAAAATCTACCAAACGTCAACACCAGGTTTATTCACTATCCAGCTAATTGTGGTGAACCGAAAGCCACATTTCAAAATTTTAGCTAAAGCAGCCGGCGTGTGAATATAGCTGGCTCGGACAGTTTTACAAATCATTTATTTTTATTGTTAAATTTTACAAAGAATTTCGTTTTCTATTTTTTTACTACAGCCCACTGGTCAGTGAATACGCCCTAGATATGGTTTTCCCCATTACTATTTTAGCTCACAGGGTACAGCTCTCTAATCCATTCTCTGCGACACTAATATCCCACCTATCTTCCCCCAAGCCAACGATATTGTATGAGAAAAGATGGCAGCACTCTGTGCACCTCTCCTCCTGCCCCACCCTGGGCTCCAACAATCGTAAATCGCACTTGGTGATGCCGCGGGCGCCATCTTTGATTTGGGAATCGGGTTTTTTTTTTCTCTCCATTTCGCACCCAGGACACGGTGTACCATGATAACTGCAGCACACGGACAACGTGATGTTTTCAAGCCCCACTGACTAATGGACTCCTATATGTATATAAGCCAAGCAAATAATGTCCTGATTAAACCCATACTAGTGAACACAATTTCCTAGACAGATTTGGAAACCACCCCCAACTTATTTTTTCCGGATGATAAAACCAAGCACCGACGCATCGACACTGAGGCAGCGATTAGGAAGCTTTGCCCTTAGTAAAGATGGCGCCTCGCGTATGAATGAAACTACAGCTTCCATTTTGCTGCAGCCAACAGGCAGCTTCCGCTCTCCCACACTCTCCGCGCGAGCCCTTAGCCTGCCTCGCGATTGGTCGGCTGGGCCGCGAGCCGGCCAGACGCATCACGTGACCCCCTCCCCTCCCCTCCCCTCCCCTTTACACCTAACCGGGAGGAAGAGAAGGAGGAGGCAGCGCTGCTGCCTGGGCGGGGGACGCACTTCCGGTGTAGTGAGTGACTGACTGCAGAGCTAGCTCAGGGGCTCCGGCTGAGGGTGGCAGGAACATGGACAGCCAGGGCAGGAAGGTGGTGGTGTGCGACAACGGGACTGGGGTGAGTGCCTGGAGCCCGGGAGGTGCCAGCCATGGCTAATGGGCGTGTATAGTGACAGCCCCTGTGACAGGCTATTCATTGTCAAGCTGGGAAATTAACTATAATAACACTGCCATAGCAATGTCCTGCAGGAGGGGCTCGCCTGTGACATTCCTGGGTTTGTGGACTATGATTCCCATAACACTCAGCCAGCCAGGGAGCTGACTGTCCTGGGAAGCCTAAACCATTGCAGCAGGGGTGCCAGGTGTGAGCCAGCCTTACACTGAATGCAGCTGGGGGGGAAGCCTTATCATTAACTGGATGAGGACACTGTCCCTTTAATTAGGGATGCATGAAGAAGATGCTTGTATAGCAAAGACCTCCAGTATACCTTTTACAGGTGTCCATAGTAAAATAACTAGACTTGTACTTGGTTTAAAAAGTAATATTCATATTTAATGATATTTGTATCTGGTAGTTATGGCTATTATTGGCACCCATTTAAATTTTTTATTTTTTTTAACTACATTTTCCATAATTCTCAGCCGCCCACTATTGCATTACAGTGAATGAACTACTCATCTGTGGGACTCCAGATTACAGGGAGTAAACCTTTTCCTGCTTGTCCCCGCCTCACTGGTTTAGATGGGTAGAAAAGCTGCAGGCCCCAGCCTGATCAAAGGTATTTCTTACCTTGGTTTGTTGAGGTGGCAGGAATGTCCTGTTTCTATAAGCGAGAGACATGGAAGAATGTGTCTGTTTAATAGCTTTGTGCAAAGTTAAAACTACCCTGTTAAGTGACATATATGTAGATTTTTGTAGGCTGTCTGTGAAGCCTGGTTTGCTTTGTATTTTGTAAAAAGGCAGTAGGAAAGTGAGATTAGGTAGGATCACATTTACCTGTAGAAGATTAGAATCTCTTGCTGCATTATAGTTCCAATTGGAATTTAGTGATAAGTAAAGGGGAAATGGCAAAACCTGCTTGGTACTTGCCACTTTATATCTACATTTTAATGATATACAACATAAATGTCCGCATGTTTGAAATGTTCCTTTCCCAAACCTCTTTCTGCAGTTTATCGCATTGCTAACTTTTCTCTGTAAGGCACACCTGGGCGGGAAAATTTTTAGATAAGAGCAAAGGTATTCATTTTATGACTTGTATATTCACTTTGGAACGAAATCTGTTTTTCTTCTAGGTAAAGCTTTTGATTGTGTATTTATTACATATTTATGTAGACGATTAAAGGCTGTTGCATCTATCAAGTTCAGCCTCTCAATCCTTTTTATTTATTTATTTTTTATCCAAAAGGGAAAAAACCTGCATTGAAGCACATTCCAATTTTGATTCAGACGTAAAAAACAAAAACTCCTTCAAGACACAAGAATGTCAGTCGCATCTATCCTTGAGTCAAGAAACTGTTATCCCACATATTCTACCACTTAATATTATGTTTTGGAAATAATGTGTTCATGTATATTTACAGCATTTATTTTCCTGTAGGTTCTAACTTTTCTTAGCATCTTTATCAACCTAATTTTTGGAGTAGTCTTGATGGCAGAGCATAATTACAAGTAAATTATGCAGACCTTTCATGCCCACTAGTTTGACAGTACCTGACTTCCTATTTACAATAAGTCAATTGTATTGGCATTGCATTAACTGGATGTAGATTTACAGAACAGTAGTCAGTTTAAGGAAGCGTTGTGGCTAGCCTGCAAGACAGGAAGTAAATGCAGTGCAGCTTAATTTGCAGACACCTTTTCATAGTTGTTTCTGGATGAGTTTAGTAATTCAAATCCAAACTAAAACATGGACTTGTATCTGCACTATGTGTTTGTTGCATTATATTTTGCTGCAAACAATCTAAATAAGTGGTGGATGACTAGTTGTGTTTAGAAATTACTTTTTTTTTTTTTCCGCATACATAATAAACGTGTGCTAGATGTTACTGCAAAATATTTAGTTTTTATATGCACAAATCTTTTTTTGTGTGTGCTTTCTCTGTAAACTTTTTTTTTTTTTTTTTTTAAACTTGAGATTAGTGCTAGCTAATGATGCTGGCGTGCACATTTTGCTGCTGTGTTTTTATGTTACAGAAGTAAAGTTTCTTCTGGGAATCGTTGAGTCATCTTTCCTGTCCTGTAAGTCTGCAGATTTGCCAGTTCCTTACAGATCCACACTGTTTGATTTAAGTATTATGGTCTGCAGCCAGCCCTGTGTGACCATTCCATCTTACTTTTGTGTGAGGCAGCATTCTAAATCAAATTCGCAAACCACAAATATTTGTTATGGATATTGAAAGTGCACATCTGGATATGAAACTAAGAACTTGACTAAAAGCATGTGATTTTTATTATTTTTTTTCCTTTCAGAGATCTGTTGGGTCAGCTAATGTTTGCATATATATTGTACATTTTTCAAGAGGAAGTAGTGTTTTTGCCAAAGAGACTCTTTGAAGCTTGAATATTCTAGAGTCTCTTGTTTAAAATCACATAAAGACACAAGGTGTGTGTGTATCTAACAAATGTATAGATACCAAGTTATTTGCATTTTGATCAGACGTGTCTGCCACACTGTTCCTCATGTTTGTGCCCTCCTTAGGACACAAAACACAATGGCCACTGCTGCTCACTGTAGTGGATATGGTGCTCTAATTGGGTTCCATAGCCCTAGTTTTTCATACATCCAAGCGGCAGTTATAATAGACTGGTAGTTGCCCTGCTGCTATGGTAACGTGATTCTGCCTTCTAGAAATGCGGGAAGCCAATGCAGGCGCCATTCATTGACTGGGTGCATCAGCTGACTGCACTTGGCCAATGAATAGTGCACTGTGCAAATTAAAATTGTCCATCTCAGTGTTAGATCTCTAGCAACCAAGGGGTCAAATTCAATATGTGAAAAACACCACACATACAGACTCCCTGCAGGCACCATTCCCACCATGACTACTTAAATCATCTACAATAACGTAGCTGCCTTTAGAACTTCAATGTTTGTAGTTTTCTCATGGAAGAAGCAACACAACAGACCAGGTTTTACCAGCCAATGTATTTGTGTGTGTATATATAGTGCCATTAAGTTTGCACAAAACCTATATCACTGAAAATGTCAATCTGGATGAAATATTGGCTTTTCCTGGTAGCGTGCTTCCCCTTATGCTGTTTTCACAATCTGTATTGTGTTGCTAAAATAAACGATAAAGTTTTCAATTTTGAGAAATAACAATTTCTGCTCCTGGGAGATGCATAGGGATTTCCTGTTGTCATAGCTACCCGGTTCTTTGTCATTGGTACATTAGAGAAAGTGCATAACCTGTGAAATTATGTACATTTCTTGTCCATTATTTCTAATTTTCTCCCTATTATATTTATCTAGGTTTGAGGTTCATTAAATGTACATTAGATATTCAGTGAACAACCTATATTTTCTAAGCCTAAGTAGAAAGCTGGGCAATTGTTTCCCATTTTGAGAAGCGCTATAATTGAAATCCTAAAGTTAAAGAATAACCTGATTGTGTAAATCGGTACGAAGTAACTTTGTGGAACCATAATATACATTGTGTTTGTAACAATTTAACATTAGTGTACCTGTCATGGTAGATATTATATAAAACGACAGATGAGACAGTTTGTAGCAAATGTATATATTTTGTGCCTTTTTATATAAAAAAATCAAATAAAAACCTCTCACCTGTTAAGCAGTTCTCAATCTAAACTAGTGAATTTCCAAAGCACAGCTTTATAAGTTGACTTGTGTAAAAGAGGGCTACAAGCAAAATTCTCGCAGTTGCTGTTCTTCTTGCAACTACAGTGCTGTATTCGCTGCCAGAGTATAAATTACAGCCAATTTGACTTACTCATTTTAAGTGGTAATATAATTCTAGATGGTTACATGCCTCCTGTAATGACAGTAACCAAACATAATATACAAACTTCTCTAAAGTCTAGCAATATACTAGTATTGTTATAGTGTCAGAACTTTACTTTTAAAATGGCCAAGGGTACAGTATAATCTAAAACTTTTATAATGAGCTGCTCAACTGTTTTGACAAAATGAAAACATTGCATTTATTAATTTTAAATTGTACACAGCAATGTACCACTCCTCTATTGAAAGGCACATTTCTAAGGCAAACGTTGAGTATCCACAAGGCTTCCTAACATGCAAAGAATGCTGTTTATTCCATGTTGATTGAAAATACAGTTCCATATAGATCTGTTGAATTGTTTACATTTTACTCAACAGAAGATATCTTGAAATCTTTTAGATACCTTGTTCTTTTATGTTCAGTTTCATCCCTAAGGGCATAGAAAGGGAAGTATGCAAGGAATGAAAAATACCTCACTTACACATTTAGCAAACTTGATAATAGTAAATTCAATAGATGCTATACAATAACTTCTCCAGATATTATAAACTTGAATTTCATATAAATGATTTCGTTTTTCGTGAGGGGGGAGGTTTTATAAGGAACTAGGGACACTATATATAACATTAGAAATAGTTTTGTATTCTTAACGCTATAGTGTTCCTTTATCCCCTTAAGGACCAAACTTCTGGAATAAAAGGGAATCATGACATGTCACACATGTCATGTGTCCTTAAGGGGTTAAGGGCTTTTTAACCCCTTAAAACCGGAGGACGTACAATTACGCCCTCTAATAGGCGGCTCTAAACGCCGCCGGGCGTAATTGTACGCCCTCCGGTTTTTGTTAACTTACCCGGTCGCCGGCGGTCCCACGCCGGCGATCGCGGTTGGGGGGACTCCCAGGGAGCCCCCCGCGGCACGTCCGTCCTCGTCGAAGCCCCCCGGCCATGTGAGAGTGGGGTCCTAGCGAGGACCCCACAATCACATGGCCGGGGATAGCTGGCTTCTGTATTGCCGGCAGGGGGGCTGCCTGTAATGACAGGTGGTCCCCCTGCTGGCTGAAAATAAAATAAAAATAAGTTAATGGTGTAAAAAAAAAATTATATATACTTAGATCATATATATATATATATATATATATATATATATATATATATATATATATATATATATATATATATATATATATATATATATATATATATATATATATATATATATACACACATACACCGTCTAGGTGTATTTTACTATATATATATATATATATATCTCTATCAAATTACATGTAGACTGATACTGATTAAATATATATATAATTATTGTTATATATATATTTATATATAATATAAAAAAAATAAAAATGTAAATACGTTAAAAAATAAAATTAAAAAAATAATTAAAAATAAATAATTAAAAAATATATAGATGTGTGTTATTTCGTTCTAACTGTTTTGTGAAATATATATATATATATATATATATATATATCAAAATACACGTAGAACGAAATATATATATCTATATACATAAATATATACGTATATATCACTATATATATATACCTATATATAAATAAAAATATTTTAAAAAATTATATAGATATATACATATATATACACATACGTATATATATACATATATTAATTCTACATATATATTTATGTAATATTTTTACATAATTAGGTATCTTAATTAATTACAATTAGCAGGACCTGCCTGACAACCCATGCCGAAAGTAAAGGGAATTTAATTTGCTAGCACTATATTTAACCCTATAACTTTCCAAGACACCATAAAACCTGTACATGGGGGGTACTGTTCTACTCGGGAGACTTCGCTGAACACAAATATTAGTGTTTCAAAACAGTAAAATGTATTACAACGATGATATCGCCAGTAAAAGTGACGTTTTTTGCATTTTTCACGCACAAACAGCATTACACGGACAATATTATTGCTGTGATACTTTTTACTGTTTTGAAACACAAATATTTGTGTTCAGCGAAGTCTCCCGAGTACAACAGTACCCCTCATGTACAGGTTTTATGGTGTTTTCAAAAGTTACAGCATCAAATATAAGGCTTGCGTTTCAGTTTTTTCACATTAAAATTCGCCAGATTGGTTATGTTGCCTTCGAGACCCTATGGTAGCCCAAGAATGAAAATTACCCCTATGATGGCATACCATTTGCAATAGTAGACAACCCAAGGTATTGCAAACAGGGTATGTCCAGTCTTTTTTAGTAGCCACTTAGTCACAAACACTGGCCAAAATTGGCATTTTTTGCATTTTTCACACAAACAGATACTAACGCTAACTTTGGCCAGTGTTTGTGACCAAATGGCTACTAAAAAAGACTGGACATACCCCATTTGCAATACCTTGGGTTGTCTACTATTGCAAATGGTATGCCATTATGGGTGTAAATTTCATTCCGGGCTACTATACAGTCTCAAAGGCAACGTAACCAATCTGGCGAATTTCAATTTCAAATGTAACGTGCTATATTTGACCCTGTAACTTCCCAAAACGCCATAAAACCTGTACATAGGGGGTACTGTCTTACACGTGAGACTTTACTGAATATAAATATGTGTATTTTATTGCAGTAAAAGCAAACAGTATTATGACATTGACCGTTAAAATGTCATGTAGAACTAAAAAAATCCAAAAAAAACGTATTTTCTCCCATTTTTTTCATATTAAATTATGTTTCATAGCTAAATATTTGATATTAAATGAAAGCCCTGTTTCCCCTGAATAAAATGATATATAATAAGGGTGGGTGCATTTACTATGAAAGAGGTGTATTACGGTTGGACAGACATGTAGCGCAAATGCCAGGTTTTGTTTACATTTTGTTTTGTTCACAATGTGTACATTTGGCTCCGTCCTTAAGGGGTTAAAGGTCATTATTGCGGCAAACTGGCAAGTGGTAAGTAAAGCCTCAATATGAATTATTTTAGTGTACAATGAATGAGAGAGGCTCATATGGATTTTGTTATGCATTGCACTGCATGCTAGAGCAGTGGCTCCCAACTTTTTTTAAATTATTTTTTAAAACCTTCATTTGTAACTTATGGATGTCACATTAATTTGAAGCCTAGATAGAGTTGCATACTTTTATCCAAAATGATATTTGTTTTAATTAACTGCTAGATAGGAACTTCAAGTGTGATGCAAGCCTTTTATTAAACCTGTTTTGAGGGCAGCGTTCAACGTATTATAGTCCTGAAATAGGTTTGTTCGTGGCACACTTTCTGGCAACTTGAGGCCCATGAGTGTAGCACACTGTTTGAAAACCTCTGTGCTCCAGAAAGCTGGAAGTAAAAGCTGATTGGAAGAAGAGAAAAATAACTCCCAAGGACCATTCTTAATGGTCAGACTGGAAGCAGCCAATCAATTGGAAATACACATATGCAAGAATACATTTAAGGCACCCTGTCTGCACATGCAGATTTCCTAGATCCAGGGCTGTAGATATCTCAATGACTCAAGTGATTTGCCCAAGCACCTAACCAGTCAGCACCAACTGTCTAATGGCACCATCGCTCCTACATGCGCATGTAGTAGTTATGCCTAGACCTTTTTTTAAGGTAAGTTTAAAAATAAAAGTAAAATTGTAGTCACTTGCTGGCTAATCTACCCTTTTAAAGATTTTCTAGTGATAGTGTGATCATAGTATTCTGAATTAGAACAGTGAGGCCATTGTCCTAACACAGTGTTGCTCAAAACGGATATTCCCAGATGTTCGAACACTACAGGTTCTATGATGCTTTGTCATTCTAAAGGCATGTAAAGCATCATGGGAGTTGTAGTTCTACAACATCTGTGGATCTACCTTTTCGGCACACATGCACTAACGTTTATTATAACTGCTTGTGTGTATGGTTTGCTCATTGTAGATCCCCGCAGAATATGTTGGTGCTTTAGAAAAGTAACCATAATAAGGAGAAACCTAAAAGATTGAAACTCTGTCTCTCTATGATTGCATACAGTCAGCATGTTGGTGTCTTTTCAGGGCTAAAGATTCAAGCGCGGTTTTTAAAAGCGCATGCTTTGGTTCTCCCATCAGACATATTGCTAGAATAGTAAAAGCTTATTATACTCTTCTGTCACACTTAAGTAACCATTGAATCCCATTACCGGAGAAACCGTTCTTAATCTGTTTGCATTATGTCGAATTATCTTTGATCTACCTTATTGTTAAAGAGGATGAATGTTGGGCATTCCTGGCTGGAACTTACCGTTCTTTTTATCTTGTAATACATTAGAACAGTACTCAACAAATCCCTGGGTGTCAGCCCGTTCAGCGGCTGCAGATTGGATGTGGGCAACGAAAGAGCTGTAATCTTCCTGCTCCTTTTGCTCTACCCCTCACGTGCCCTGCAGTAATGCCTGGACCCGGGATATGATAGAACTCTGGCCTTGGCATTACTAAACGTGTGTGAGGGAGCAGCAAGATTATACATGCCACACTGGACTCTAGCTCTCTCAAAGGTAGGGAGGCTGAGTGGGCTTAAAAAAAAAAATTAAAAAAAAAAATATTGTAATTGTGAGAAAATGTCTAATTAAGCGGCCCCATTCCGATTGCATTGGAAATGTGGTTTTACTCACCTTTTTCCTGCTGGTATCGATGTGGTTGCCACCATTGCTGAGATAATCTCGATCTCAGCCAAGCCAGAGTTTTCTTATAGGAAAGCACTGGGAGGCTTTTGTGCATGCACGGCAAAATGCTGCATTGGGCAAATTAGCATCTCCTCATACAGATGCATTGAATTAATCCATCTCTATGGGGAACATTCAGAGCCTCCATACAGAGGATGGAGACGCTGAACGCCAGTGTTGCACAATGTTGAGCACGGTACTAGGAAGCACCTTTTAGTGGTTGTCTGAGTGACTCACTAGAGATGTTCTTGTTTAGCAATGTCAACACTGCCTGAATGTAGGTGCTGCACATTATGTAGCACTTAGATAGGAAACACTATAGTGACCAATTTGAGTGATGGCTACTAGAGGTGTTACTAGGCAGCAATGTAAACACTGCATTTTGTCTGAAAAGGTATGGGTTACATTGAAAAGCCTTCAGGGACAGGATATAGTCACCAGAACCACTACATTAAGCTGTAGTAGTTCAGGTGACTATATAGTGTCCCTTTAAGAATTGCACTTTTGTAGTTTTAAAATAAAGCTTTGTTAGTTTTTTAAAAGAACCTGGCCTCTAACTTTTTAATTTATTATAAATCTGGCTCCTAGAATCGAGGCAAATTTGGCAACCCTGCATTAGAAGATACTTAAAATATATGGAAAACGGTAAATTTAAAAAAATGAAAATTTTCACATGAGGTTCCTGTGTTTGCTCTAGAACTTTAATTCTTTGCAGTTTTCACGGTAAGTTCTCTCCAAACCAGGAATTGATTCAGGCAATCACATTCACTTGAAGTATTTCATTAAGCTATGTTTGTGAAGTACTCATGCCAATGCAATCCAGAGATACCAGAAGACAAAGTAGGGGCTACTTTGTCTTATGGCAACATCTGAGGTTGACAAAAGGCAGAGAGCACTGCTGTCATCTTTTGTCCAGTCCCAGCAGCTGTCGCAAGTGATGACTGTGGGATTCAGGAATCGTCTGACTCATGATCTGTTAAGGTGCTTGTAAGATCCTTCATTGAGGGTTCCCCGAAGAAAATGGAAGCGAGTAAATAGATCAGGGGTGCCCAAAAGGTAGATCCCCAGATGGTTTAAAATGAACTACCTTCCATGATGCTTTGTCATTCTAAAGGCATGCAAAGCATCATGGGAGATGTAGTCCTACAACAAGGTGTGTACCTTTTGAGCACCCCTGAAGTAAATCTACCTTCAACTTTACTCCAACCAGGGATATCACCTTTGGGAGTGTTTGCAAAATATGAAAGATTCCAAAAGTGACAAATGTGCTTTAAAAGGATACTGCATCTTATTATAGTAGTTTGTGTAATGAGACTCGTGGGTTTATTTTTGTTTGTTTTTTTAATATGCTTTTCAAAGGTTTTACAATAAAGCATATGTAGTATATGATCTATAAACAGTGTCTTTATTGTGTATGAAATAGTGTTGCATGGATGAGTTAAAATTGGGCATCAATCTCATTTTTTTTTCAGAGCTGATACAGATTCTGTTGCTTTTGGGCCAATAACCAGTGCCAACTTTTTTTTAAAATATATAACGCATGACCCAATTTCTACACAAATCTGGCATTAACAGAACATGCTAACAGCAGTTATACTCCTATCACACTTAGGCAACCAGTACATACTGTGATTAGGGAGTTCCTAGCATACACAGTGATTCTGATAGGACTGTGATTGCTGACAACTCACACTGTCAGCCAGCTCAGTACATTACATAATATTCATGCTCACCTCCCTGCCTTCAGTTGAGCTCCGCATGCGAGGACTCGCAGGGAGCAGTGGCATGAGGCCGCAACAAGGCACGTCATGGGGTGAAGGCTCGAGATTCTACAGGTGAAAGATTGCGTTTTGAAACTAGGAGAGCTGAGTAAGTTATTTTGTAATATTGTTAAATTACAAGACCGATACTGATTATCAGAAATCTGCAGAATATTGGCTGTGATAATTGGCGGAACTGATAATTGGTCTATGCTTAATTTAAATAAGGATACTGGTGAATGAATTGTGGATAATTTTGTACTTTTTTTATTTTTTAATTATTATTTATAAAGTAACGCTGTCTCTTGCTAGTCCTTGATCCATAAACCTGTTTTATAAATTATGCAAATAGGTTAATATTTTCCTCTAAACAAGTTATAGAAACTTAGCTGGAAATAAAATCTAATACAAAAAAAATCAAGAAAAGGTGCTAAAAAATTAATACCATAAAAATACAAATTAGTTTAACCCTTAAAGTATTTAAAAGGTAAGCAAGCACTCATAAAAGTGAAAATAGCTCAAGAAATGCCTAATAAAATATAGTGGAAAATAAGTGCGCTGTTCCTTTAAATACTTCGAAAAGTGTATGTGTGTGTGTGTGTATATATATATATATATATATATATATTTGTGTATTTCACTAAAAAATATATATATATATAATATTTTCACACACACTCTGAAAGTGCAAGGCAGTGCACTAAGGTGCTCTATTTATACAGATTTGTATAAAATATTTACACACACAGAGTGTCGTCTTTTTTTTTTTTTTTGCAAACCTGCTAATGGGCACCTTTATCTTCGGTTTCCTGCTCCCATGTTTGCCAGTTCACTAATGGAAGCAGGATCAGTTTTTCACATAAAAGATGAATTATCGAATGGTATTTAATTTGCACTTTTAAGAAATTTTGGGCTCTGCAGTTCACGTCTTAGATGAAGATAGCTAGATTCCTTTTTAACAAATGAAAATGGCCATGTAATGACATTCAAAGTTAGGCATTACTCTATTACATCATTGACTTGGCATTTTCCTCCACTGCTTATTGATGTTTACCTAGATCAGGGGTCAGCAACCTACGGAACGTGTGCCAAGCATGGCACTCGAGGTGCCTCTGAACGGCACTCAAGGCTGTTAGAGCCAAACAGGCTCAGGCCTATCGTCCTGGTGGGACTTCAGGTATCTGCTAGTGCAAAAAGGTGGTGAGGGATAATCCACAATTTACCGTACCAGCACTTGTGAACAGGAATCCATACTGGAGTAGAGCAGCCCCCACCAACCATAACAGCTCCTGTCTTTAACCTGTACCTGGCCAACCTGGTCCCCCACTGAATCCTAAAGAAGCCACACACTAAATATACACAGAACTGCAGAATAAGCTTCCACGTCATACAAATAATACTGACCGCCCACAAGCACACACGCAGTCCCCACAAACCTCACACACAGCCCCCATACACAGCTTACATTCAAAGGTAACGTACAAAATACCACAAATTACTCATGAACATACCTACATGTGCACAAATACAATGTTACAAAGCTTCAGCCTCCATAAATAACAGAAGCAGAATACGGCAACATACACACCTGCATTTAAAACATTTAGGCCGGCACATCAAATTATTGTTTTGGCACAGTACTAATAAAAGGTTGCCTACCCCGATCTAGATCTACTAATCATGGATATGTGCTGTTGTAGTACATAGAGCCTACTGTAACTTATTTTTCTTTCTCTGTGAATGAAATTGCATGTTCTGTTTGGCAGATTCCTCATCCTCTGGATTCTCTTTATTGATGGTTGTATTGACATGTATTTGTTATATAAACGTTCCTATTTTTTTTTCTTCACTACAGCAGTGTCTCTATTTTTAGAGGTACTTCTAGCATAATTATAGTTCCAGCAAGACGTTTTGGATTTGTTAATTTTTGTCATCTTCCTGTGACTGCCAGTGAGACACCTCCCCCATTCTAATTCTGAGTAACTTCCTCCACTGTCTAAGACTTTCTTCCTCATGTTGTACATTTTCAGCAATGGAGCTTGTCTGTTGTTTTTTTTGGTCTGCCAAAATGATCTCCTATGAGTGTGTGTGTGTGTGTGTGTGTATGTATGTGTATGTATATATGTATATATGTGTGTATATATATATATATAATATATATATATGTGTGTGTGTGTATATGTATGTATATATGTGTGTGTGTATATGTATGTATGTATGTATGTATGTATATATATATGTATATATATTACAATGTTTAACAAAAATCTCCACACCAGTCAAGCCATAAGACTTGCTTTTCCCACAGAAATCCCAACTCTGCAGTGATGTTATAACCACAAAGAATTCTGGGTGGGCATATGCAAATTAGTGTAACAAAGAATCACATTTTTGCCTCATTCCATTTTAAACATGGATTCCTTTTAATCTGTGTTTGCAGTATACAACTGCTTGGAACACAATTTAGGAAAAGATGCATTAACTATCCACAGACTTCAGGTGAAAGGGGTTTTCAATCACAATTTTTTCCCCACCATAACCTCCCCGCCCAGCGCTAGAAAGAGGTAAGTTTTTACCCCTTTCCAGAGCCCGGCGGGTGGGGGCACCCTCAGGGCACTATAGTGCCAGGAAAATGAGTATGTGTTTTCCTGGCACTATAGTGGTCCTTTAACTATCCACAAACTTCAGGTGGAAGGGGTTTTCAATCACAATTTTTCCCCACCATAACCTATTTGAATTCTGAGATATGATATAAAATATATATATAGTATATACATTTTTTTTTTTTAATTTTTTTTTTTAAGCTTAGTCCAATCTAGGCACATGGATTCAGAGTTGCACAGGAGGCCCTTCTCTCCACTAAACGTTCTACATCTCAAACAAGTCAAACCAAGTGACATTCAGTGAGCAATTTAATCCTGAAATAAAGATTTCTCTAAATGAAGTAAATCTGTGGTGTCGATATTTGCACAGCAGTACATACCTGTTTTCCCAGGAAGGTCATGTAGCCTGATTTGCTTATCAGTGTATAATATTGCGACATCACCCAAGAGTGATTGTGACATTATACTACCTCTACATTTCAGACCTTGTAAATGATTTTCAGTTTATCCATACATTGACTGGAGGACCTACATTAGATAACGAACATGTTATGTTCTGAGGACCCACAAACATATCCCACTACTGCTGGGCGGCAGCAATTACTATAGTACACATCAGCTCCAATATATACATTTAAAAAAAATAAAAGAGAGAGAGAGTTGCTTGCAGACTATCCCAAATCCCTATGCACATTTAAATAACTGGAGGTTTTTAGTATCACTCCAGTGGCCATTAGGTGTAAGCTCATCTGCCACGTCAAGGCAAACCTCTTACGTGAGTCCTGTTTACAAATATATATTTGTAATAACAGAAGACGACAGTGTTTACTTGACTGGCCCCCACCTAAGGGAGGAAAAAGTACTTCCATTTACCGCTGCTGGGAAAACAGGTATGTACTGCTGTGCTAATATTAACACACCAGATTCACTCCATTTAGATAGATAGATATATATATATATACATATATATACCGCCTGCTACTCTCGCCATATATATATATATAATATATATATATATATATATATATATATATATAATTTTTTTTTTTTTTATACAAAAATCAAAACTGGGGATGCACTCACAGGACTTGCTTAAAGTGGGAAAAAAGGGACTTTTAATTATTCCATGTGAAATGTACAGAAAAATCAATTTTCCATTCACATGGAATAATTAAAGTCCCTTTTTTTCACTTTAACCAAGTCCTGTGAGTGCATCCTCAGTTTTGAGTAGGTGCCACTTTTAATTTACACAATTGTGTTTTTTGAGTCTCCAACCAGAAATCTATACACCAACTTGGGACCAAATAGTCTATTAATTATTTGAATTGTAACCCTTAGTAAATCTCCCTAGTGGTATGGACTATTCTGTCTTTGTATTTCTCCTCCGTCTTAATTTCTTAGACTTGGGGTGGAGTCTAAGTGTCAGTCTCGACAGCTGCCACCATTGACTGCTGCAGGGAAATGGCTGTGACTTTGGAGGATCCCACCTTAAAGGACCACTATAGTGCCAGGAAAACATACTCGTTTTCCTGGCACTATAGTGCCCTGAGGGTGCCCCCACCCTCAGGGACCCCCTCCCGCCCGGCTCTGGGGAGAGGAAGGGGTTAAACACTTACCTTTCTCCAGCGCCGGGCGGTAGCTGTACTCCTCCTCTCCTCCTTGCTCGTGACGTCATCGGCTGAATGCGCATGCGCGGCAGGAGCCGCGCGCGCATTCAGCCGGTCGCATAGGAAAGCATTTACAATGCTTTCCTATGGACGCTTGCGTACTCTCACTGTGATTTTCACAGTGAGAAGCACGCAAGCGCCTCTAGCGGCTGTCAATGAGACAGCCACTAGTGGCTTTGGAGGCTGGATTAACCCTCAGTATAAACATAGCAGTTTCTCTGAAACTGCTATGTTTATAAAAAAAAAAGGTGGTTAATCCTAGAGGTACCTGGCACCCAGACCACTTCATAAAGCTGAAGTGGTCTGGGTGCCTAGAGTGGTCCTTTAATGCTGTACACTTGCTCATGCGTGAGAGTACAGCAGTGACGTCTGCTGCGAAGAAGGCCAGATCAAGAGGGCTGTGTCAGTGAGTGACAAGTTCAGTTAAATAGAGCTCACCTTTACCTGCCACCGGACCCCCGTGGCAATGTCACCATTGGGCATTTTTGCAAACTAAGCAGAGTCGCGACACTTTAATATAATAACTTTCTAGTTCATTTATACTTTACCAAAATATTGGGGGGGGGGGATACAGTTTTGAGTGTTATGGAATTTTGGATTTTGAAATACAGTACTAATTCTGAACTTGTATTTTATGAGGGCAAATGGCATTTGTTACTTGCAGTAGTTTTTCCAGCAAATGAAATAAAATTTAGAGACACCTGCTTGTGGTTAGTTGTAAGGAACCTAATTGCATTGTAATACAACTTTCCAAAATGCCACCAGAATTGAGACTTAATGCAGGCATGATGCCAACATACATAGTGCAGGTGCCTTGGTAAGTCTAGGAATTTGTACTATGTAGGGCATAAGCAAATTATGCATGCAGCTTTGCGGTATGACTTGGAGTATGCAGAGTCCTCTTGAATGCAGTCCTGCATGTTTTTTTTTTTTTAGGTTGGTGGGTTCCAGGCCCGGACTGGCCATCGGGCATACCGGGCAAATGCCCGGTGGGCCGCGATGGCCGTGGCCGGCAGGGAGATCACAGGATCGCCCCTGCAGGGCCAGCGCTATGCGAGCGCCGGACCCGCTGTGTGCCTCCGTGGGCCGGTGGGGAGATAAAAGATCTCCCTCACCGGCCCACAGGCACTGTTACAGGCGGCCGCAGGCTGGGTGAGGGAGGGAGGCAGGAGTGAGGACCCGGCGGAGCTCTTACAAGCAGCTCCGCCCGGTCCTCTCGCGGGATTCTGAGCGTTGCCGCGGTTACCGCGGCAACGCTCAGATCTCGCGAGAGTGAACTCTAACCCGCAGGTTAGAGTTCACTCTCACCACTGGACCACCAGGGAAGGCAGCATGGTCCCCCTCCTCCATGGATACCCGGCTCCCCACACCCACGCAGAACGGATCTCCCCCCCTCCCAGGCTAAAGGTAAGAAGTGGGGGGACATAACTTTTTTTTAAAATTATTAATTATAATAATATTATAATTATTAATAAAATAAAAAATATATATTTAAAATAATTTCCCTAACAGCCCCCCCAGACACACACAGCCCCCCAGACACACACAGCACCCCAGAGACACACATAGCCCCCCACAGACATACACAGCCCCCCACAGACACACACAGCGCACCCCCAGATGCACACAACACCCTCAGACAGACAGCACCCTCACTCCCACACATATACAGCACATATATTATATAAAAAAAACCCTCAGTGAGTTAACAGACAAATAAAATTAGAAACCCAGAATGTGACGGCAGATAAAAACACCCTCACACACAGCACCCCTCTTACACAAACACGCTGCGCACCTCACACATACAATACGTCCAAATATATTTTATATATATATATATATATATATATATATATATATATATATACAAAAATCTAAACTGACAGGACTTGGTTAAAGTGAAAAAAAGGGACTTTTAATTATTCCATGTGAAATGTACAGAAAAATCAATTTTCCATTCACATGGAATAATTAAAGTCCCTTTTTTTCACTTTAACCAAGTCCTGTGAGTGCATCCTCAGTTTTGATTTTTGTATATTTCTGACGTTTGGGATATAGCACCCAGGCTATTAGTTCTTTCTTATTACTTAAAGGAGAGTGCCAAGCATCCTGTTTTATTTATATATATATATATATATACACACACATACACTACAGCACCCCTCACACTGCACCACTACACACATTACGCTCCAGATACACGCTAGATCCCTTACCCTATATGCACTCTTAATCCTCTACACACACACACAATCTTCTATACACACTCTGGGTCCTTTACACACTAGATCTCTTACACACACACTGCACCACCTACACACACACTACATTCCTTGTAAGCAAACACATACAACATTCTCTAAACACACCCTCTCTACACACAGTAGTGTGTGTGTATAAGTGACACACACTACGTCACCTATACACACATACTACTTCCCGTATGCACACACTCGCTACATCCCCTATAACACTATGCCCCTATACATGAACTCTGTACAGCCCCTAGCCACACATATTACACCACAAAATTGACCTATTTACACAATACCACACCACACTCTACACACAGGCAATCCCACAAGCATGCGCCAAACACATGCACCATACACTTTCCTGGCCCTTTTGTCCTCTGGTATCCCACTTGTGGAGACACCAGAGACAATTTAAAAGCAAACACAGCGCAAGCATGTTATTACATTTGCTTGTGCTGCGCAGAACAAATACAGGGCCTTTTTCTAATGCTAGAGCTCTTCAGCGGGGCTCTGCGCATTGAACCAACATGCTCACTTTCTCTGGCACCGCCCCCTTTTTGGGGGGCCGCTCTAATTGAAAAATGCCCGGGCCTAATTTTTTTCCCAGTCCGGCCCTGGTGGGTTCCTATACCATAAGTCTTTGGCAGTGAAATGTGAAATCAGTGCTGGAATGGTGGAGAAGAAAAGTATGCAGTGCAAAGGAAGAAATGTTTAGCTCATGTATACCCAGTATTTGAAGAAGCAAAGAAAGTGATATACTTTATTTTTTTATTGTATTTTTTTTTTTTTAAACCTAAGCTTTGTATATTGTTCGCTTGCCCTGATGTAGTGAAAGAGGAATAAGTTAGTACTATAGCTTCAGCTATTCCAGGCATTTTCTTCACAAATGCGGAAGTAAAGTTCGTGCTGTTGTGACAAATTTGAAATAGATTCAGATACTTCTGTAACCTTGTAACGACGAAAAGAACTCACACCATTTTCTCCTCCCCTTGTAAGGACGAAGATAAAACCTCAAAGCTCGGATTTCCTGTATGTTTAGGTGTTTGAAAAAACTGAATTATGCATGTTTCCAAAGAAGGCTGTCCTTAAATTTTTATGAACATTAGGTATTGTCAGTCTTTCCCATCCCCCTCCTATTACATTGCATACAAGTCTGTAATTCTTGTTCTGTGTTTGCACCAGTTTGTGTTGTAACCTGCCCAGATAAGAATCTTGTGGAATTTCCAACCTCAGTTTACCTGATAAGGAACTGAAAACACCCATGTATGACTGTGTATTGATTGCTGTGCCACAAATTGGTTACTGGAGGATCACTTACATTTGTTGTCTAATTATCCAGTTTTTGAAATATCTGTACACATTCTAATTAAAAACATGTGGCCCTTTTTTGGTCTTTGTTGCAATGATCTGACTTATTAGATAAGTGTTGGGACCACATTTATGTAGACTGTTTGTTTGTAAATTGGTGGCTCATTTTAGATATTTGAAAGATTGAAAAAATCATTTCCATTCCTCTGTATTACTCTGGCATTTAGTGTTAGACATACTCGCGCTGCAATGAAAATCTGTGTTTATACAAGGGAAATAATAAAACTGACAGTTCGCTGGGAGCTTTACAACGGGGACATGGTGTATGTAGATTGAGACTGAATAAACACCCGCCTAGATTTTATAACCATATACAAAGCTTTAAAGCGGCACTGTCATGATAAACTTGCCTTTCTCCGATTGTTTATTTTTCTCTTCCAGAATTTTTGTTCTTTTCTTCCTATTTGATCTAGTTTTTCATTAACACATAAGACAAAGTAGGGACTACCTTTTGTATATTTGTGCATGCACTCTAGACATTTCTACATACATGTTGTAACAGATCCCCTATACTCCGACTGAGGATATCTGTTGAAGAGTCTCCCAGGTCCTAAAGTGAGGCAGTGATTATAACTCTAAGCTACCCAAATATCAGCCAAGAATTGATGAAGGGTACAAGAATTGTTTTTATTATGGCCCAGTGGTCTATTTATATACACCGACACCCAGCATTGGGTCTCCATTAATTTGTACAGTAAACCCGCCCAGATGCCTCTGTGCCTAGAAGATAAGTGAGCTTGGTTTTGCTTAAACTAGTAATCTCCCAGGCACTAGACATACAAAATATAAAAACAAAAAAACACGCCATAATACAAACAATATCGATAAGAACCCCCAAAGTATTATATACCCAGATAGCCTGGGTCTGAGCGCCCAAGTTGTCCAAATAGTTCTCAGATCCATGGATATTAGCCGAATTGCAACTGAGGTAACGTTTTGACCAGCCGCACACATGGTCCCATGCCCAAAACAGTTCCCGGGTGTCTGGTGCTTTGGCCGGTCACCTTTCAGGAGTTCCCATTTGAAAACAAACAAACGTTTCCCCTGGCTTGTAGGTAGCGAATGTTTGCCTAGTTCGTGCGAACATTTTCTACTGAACAGCGTTCTCCTGCCTTGTCGGTAATGGAAGCAGGCATCGGTAAAAACTCACAATGGTTCGCTCTTTGAAGTATCAGACTTCGAGTTCCAGGCGCTCGACTACCAAGTGCAGCTGCCTGCGTATGGGAGACAAGACTGCCGCCGTTTTCCAGAGCACCTGGTGTTCGGTTATACGAACGGCAGCCACACAGAGAGAGCACTTAGGTTTGTAGTTAACAAGCCAGAAGGTGGTCTGTGTTTAGTAGGTTACAACTATCGAATGGAAGAAAAGTACTTTAGGTTCAGGGGAATGTGGAAAATAAACTCGGGGGAACTGTTCCTAGAAGCTGAGAAATGAGTTCATCACACATTTTGAAGATTTTGTGAAACAATTTGTTGCTGCAGCATAAGGTGTCACAGAGCAGGATCGGTATTATGGCCTCTTTGTGTGTAATTTTCTTGAGAAGCAAGGATAGTACTGCATTGAGGTGCTGAGTTTTATTTTTTATAAAAACAAGTGGGCTTGCCACTTGTGTATTTTTAATTTTCTAGTAAATTTTACACCATTGACCTCTATGCTGACAAAAGCCTACTAGTTTATAACCCTACCAAAAAATAAAAAAATAAACCGGCTTGTACACTAACGTGAGAAGTGCATTTCAAAGAAAAGGAAACAATAGCCGAGCTAGAACCGTTTCTCAGAGCCAAACGCCTCTCTGGCCAATCAGCATCTCATAGAGATGCATTGAATCAATTCAGATCAGTTCAGATCTATGAAGAAATTGAATTGTCTCCATGCAGAGGGTGGAGACACTGGATGTCAATCACATTGTGCAGCACTGCCCTAGTAAGTACCTCTAGAAGCCATCTGAAGCATGGTCACTAGAGTTATCCCTAGGCTGTAATGTAAACACTGTTCTCTAAAAAAAAATTAATAAAAAAAAAAATAATAATTAAAAATAAACGGTTTACTGTAAAAAGCCTGAAGGGAATGATCCTACTCACCAGAACAAATACAATAACCTGTAGTTGTTCTGATGACTAGTGTCCCTTTAATCACACACGGGAGGCTGATGCTGATTACTAAAACAGCAAGATTTAAGAAGTTCTAAAACTTTGTAATACAGGAAACTAACTTTTTTTAAGAATTTTTTTTTTTATTTTCAAGATGTGTATAAAGGAGGCTGTGTGAATTTCAGCAGGGTAAGTTGTGGCTCGCCTCCCTAGATATAGTAAAATCTTACTTGTATTAAAGTCTGCAGCTTTTTGCTCTGCCCCTGATCTGTCTGCTGACATCATCCGAAGTGAGGGTCTGAACCAATCATAATGCTTCCCCCATCGGATTGGCTGAGCTTATCGAGAAGGCAGATCAGGGGCTTAGCTAGTCAAACACGGCCCTGGCCAATCGGCATCTCTGAATGCGAACATGCTATAGTGTCCTGAGATCTATCTAGGTAAGTGTAGTTCTTCCGTCCCTATGTGAGGGTATAATGGTTTTTCTTGTTGGAAGGTTATTGTGCCTCCATGGCAAAACACTGCGCTGCACCAATCAAACGCTGCTCTAGGCAGTGTTTCACATTGCACTCTTCAAAATACTGGGGCACTGCACTCAGACCACTTCATTGAGAAGAAGTGGTCAAAGTGCCTTTTGTGTCCCTTCACCTCCTAAATGTCAGAGAAGTGAGACTGCAGGGGCATGAGCTGTACAGCAAAACTAACTCATTAAGCAAAAGTTGCTTGGATGCTTGGTGTCCCTTAAACCAACTGCATGGGTGAAGATGGCTTTGTATATTTGCTGTGCATTCACATGTGTTGCTTTCATCCTCAATGCAGCACACACTACAATATTCCAATTGCATGGGTGCCTTTTAGACAGTCCATTGGTACCATTCGTTAGTGCTGTCTTTCCATTATCAGACCTATAATTCTGCAATGCCATGTAGTACTATAATGGATAGTAGCATAGGTCATGCATAAGTCATTTTGAAACCTTACCCATGTATGTAAACTTTCATGAATGCTTCCTGTCATTACAGTACTGCAGGGCTAATTGTGCCTTTGCATGTAATATCTGACAAGCTGTACTGTTTCCCACATATGTTGCCCACCCTAGTACTGCTTGTCTTATTGAGCAGCGGAACAAAAAACATTGCCAGACAAAAGCGCACAGTTTGTAGATGGAAAGCACAAGCTGTTTGCTTTTTGGCTGAAAATGTGTAATACCACATCTATTTTGTTAGATTTTCTTCCCCTTTTGCTGTGCATGCTCTTGCTGTGCATGACTCAATAGGAAGTTAAACCACAATGTTCTTAAGTCTAAATATGGTATATGAGCCAGTGTATGTCACTGCTTCATTGTTTCAGCTTTACTTCTCCTTGTAGAGCAAGGTGCCACCCACTGGTTGCTATTGGAGTTGAACATTGCAATAGAAACATAGAATGTGACGGCAGATAAGAACCATTCGGCCCATCCAGTCTGCCCAATTTTCTAAAGACTTTCATTAGTCCCTAGCCTTATCTTATAGTTAGGATAGCCTTATGCCTACCCCACACATGCTTAAACTCCTTCACTGTGTTAACCTCTACCACTTCAGCTGGAAGGCTATTCCATGCATCTGCTACCTTCTCAGCAAAGTAATACTAACTGATATTTTTAAACCTTTGTCCCTCTAATTTAAAACTGTCCTCTTGTTGTGGTAGTTTTTCTTTTTAAATATAGTCTCCTCCTTTACTGTGTTGATTCCCTTTATGTATTTAAATGTTTCTATCATATCCCCCCTTTCTCATCTTTCCTCCAAGCTATACATGTTAAGATCCTTTAACCTTTCCTGGTAAGTTTTATCCTGTAATCCATGAACCAGTTTTGTAGCACTTCTCTGAACTCTCTAAAGTATCAATATCCTTCTGGAGATACGGTCTCCAGTACTGCATACAATACTCCAAGTGAGGCCTCACCAGTGTTCTGTACTTCCCTCTTTCTACTGCTAATACCTCTCCCTATACAACCAAGCATTCTGCTAGCATTTCCTGCTGCTCTATTACATTGTCTGCCTACCTTTAAGTCATCAGAAATAATCATCCCGTAATCCCTTTCCTCAGATGTTGAGGTTAGGACTCTATCAAATATCCTGTACTCCACCCTTGGGTTTTTACGTCCAAGATGCATTATCTTTCACTTATCCACATTAAATGTCATTTGCCACAACTCTGACCATTTTTCATGTTTACCTAAATCATTTGGCATTTGGCTTTTGGCTTATCCCTCCTGGAACATCAACCCTGTTGCATATCTTAGTATCAGAAAAAAGACATACCTTACCATCAAGACCTTCTGCAATATCACTAATAAAAGTATTAAAGAGAATGGGTCCAAGTACAGATCCCGAAGGTACCCCAGTGGTGACAAGCCCATGCTTCAAATATACTCTATTGACTACAACCCTCTGTTGCCTGTCACTCAGCCACTGCCTTTCCCATTCAAAAATATTGGAATCCAAACTTAAAGATTGCAATTTATTGATAAGCCTTCTATGTGCAACAGTGTCAAAAGCCTTACTGAAATCTAGGTAAGCAATGTCTACTCCACCACCGTGATCTATTATTTTAGTAATCCAATCAAAAAAATCAATAAGATTAGTCTGGCATGATCTCCTTGAAGTTAACCCATGTTGTCTCTGTCTATTTAATTTTAGATGTTCAACAATCCTATCCTTTAACATGGTTTGCATTACTTTCCCCACTACTAAAGTAAGGCTTACTGACCTATACTTGCCCAACTCCTCCCTACTACCTTTCTTCTTATTATTATTATTATGATATTTATAGAGCGCTGTCAAATTCCGCAGCGCTTTACAATCGGTGGACGAACAGACGTAGTCGGAAACACAGGAACAGAGGGGTTGAGGGCCCTGCTCAATGAGCTTACATGCTAGAGGGAGTGGGGTAAAATGACACAAAAAGGTAAGGATAGTATTAGACTAGTGGCAGTTGCAGAAGAGGAATCAGTCAGGAGCTATTAACAGTTTAATTGATACGCTTTTATGAAGTGGGTTTTTAACGATTTTTTGAAGGAGTGGAGACTGGGTGAGCATCTAACGGAGGAGGGAAGCGAGTTCCACAGGAACGGTGCAGCCCTCGAGAAATCTTGAAGGCGAGCATCAGAGGTGGGAGTACGGACAGAAGATAGGCGTAAGTCTTCAGCAGATCGTAAGGGCCTAGACGGGACATACTTGTGTATAAGGGAGGATAGATAGGTGGGAGCAGCATTATGTAGAGATTTGAAAGCAAGAACCAGAATTTTAAATTGAGCTCTATATTTTATAGGAAGCCAATGTAGGGACTGACAGAAGGGTGAGGCATGGGAGGTGCAGGCGGACAGGAAGATGAGCCTCGCCGCCGCATTTATTATGGACTGTAACGGTGCTAGTTGGGAGCACGTAAGACCACTGAGATGCGGATTACAGTAGTCAAGGCGAGAAAGGACAGTGGAATGGACCAACACCTTAGTCGCATCTGTTGTTAAGTAGGGGCGGATGCGCGCAATGTTTTTGAGATGGAAATGACAGGATTTGGCGATAGATTGAACATGAGGGTGGAAGGAGAGGTCCGAGTCAAAGAGAACACCTAGGCAGCGAGCCTGCGTGGTGGAGCTGATGGTAGCACCGTTGACTTGGAGGGAGACAGACACAGGAGTAACAACACTTGAGGGAGGAAAAAACTGAATTTCAGTTTTGGTCAAGTTTAGTTTAAGGAAGTGGGCAGCCATCCAGTTAGAAACAGTAGAGAGGCAGTCAGAGACGCTAGTCAAGAGGGACTGGTCAACATTTGTTAACTTCCAATCTTCTGGGACTACTCATGTTAACAGTGATTGGGTTAAATACATTTTTAGAATTTATTCACTAAATAACAAATAGCATATTGGGGGGAAAAAATGAAAATGTAGCCCAAAGCAGTAGCGGAGTTTGAATTTTTGTTTTCAGTTCACTAAAATCTGAATGGAACAATAAGACCAAAACTAGGGAGAGGGGTATATGGATATATATAATATATGTATGTATATATATATGTATGTATGTATGTATGTATGTGTGTATATATATATATATATATATATATATATATATATATATATATATATATATATATATATATATATATATATATATATATATATTTATTTTCACTCACTCACTCTCAGGACCGAAAGATCCATGGAGAACAAAATCTAATTTCCATGTGTTCTGAAATTATTGATTTTGTGTGTTCGTTTTTGTGATGTTTGAATGTCTGTGTTTAGCACATGTATAAATAATAATTTGGAATTCTGTGTCAGGACAGGTGTCCAATAATTTAATTTAGAGGGTAGATCAAAGTAAGACTTCTGTAGCTTTCAAAATATTATGGTTGGTATTCAGCCTGCATGCAACCAGCTCAACAACCCTTCATGTTGGCAAGCGTGTATCCTGTCCTATTGTTTTATACCCCACCTTCTATAGTCTGTAAGCTCGTTTGAGCAGGGTCCTCTTCAACCTATCTTTCCTGTAAGTTTTCTTGTAATTGTCCTATATATAGTTAAATTCCCCCCTCTCATAATATTGTAAAGCGCTACGGAATCTATTGGCGCTATATAAATGGTGGTAGTAATAATGATATATGTAGATGTGTTTGCAAATGCATGTGCTTTGAGAACATTAAGGGAGGAAACTAATATCAGCACTATTCACTTCTTTCTGTGACCTCTTGGGGAAAACGCTTTCTTGGGAATTGATCATTCGATCAAGTATGAATGAAAATAGTGTAAAAGGACAGCAGCCTCACGCTTTATTTTCAGCTTTTAAAAAAAGTTAATGTAGAGAAAAAGTTGTAGATATTTATGGTTAAAGACGGGCTGTCACCTTGGAAGTAATGGACATTTTTTTTTTTTTCCTGTTTTGCAACCCTCCACACTACCAGCACACACAAGGTCTATTATTTTAATCATGTGCAAAGGCTTGACTGGAGCAGGATGGCATACAGAGTATTTTGGAAATATTTTCTTAGAAAATAGAAGTGCAACCAAGATTATGGCATTTTGACTTCCTCTACCTACCCCACAATCTGGGTAAGGTAAAGCAAATATGTTGCCAGCAAAAAAAGAGTTTCTCCTTAAGGATCCACGATGTGTACTGTGGCTATGTTCTGGTTAGCCATTGTTTGAGATGATACAGATATGGGGTTTGATTCTAGGTTGTCAGTTTGTTTTTTGGGGGTTTTGTTTTAACTTCTTGTGTTTCAAGATCCAGAACATATCATGTATTGTAGCAGATGCAAAAAGGAATTTAAGCGATTACTCCAAGGACCATGACTACTTCAGTGATTTGAAGTTGTTGTGGTGCCTGGGGCATCATTAAGAAGCCAGGAACAGGAGCTCCAGGTGGCAAATGTGAATTCCATCCCAAATTGGCGTCTAACGCCAGCACACACAGCATGGAGCTGTGATGTCAGAGGAATAAGATTAGGCTGCTGAGAGCGCTAGGCCTTGGTTCTGGAACTTTTTTTTTTTTTTTTAAATAAAGGAATGGGGGCCATATAGAAAGGGTTACACTGCCCAAAAACATTGTTTGTTTGAAACCCTGTTTTATGGTGGTAGTAACCCCTTAATGTTTACATGTACAATTAAGTATATTCTCTGTTTGCTATTTTATGTATAAATATCAACTTAAAGGTAGAAAAAAAGTATTCAATCAAGTAATTGGTGTTGGTTATGACTGGGTGATGCATAATGTAAATGCTTAATTTTTCAGATACCGCTAGGAGAGCCACTGTGATAAGTTGAAGTAGTTATTGTTTATTGTAGTGTTCTTTTTAAATAACGAAAAACAAAAAATTAAAACTGAATTCTAGAACAGATAATCAACATGACATTCACTGCTCCAGATATCTGCTCAGGTGTTGTTTGTAGAACTTTGTGTTGATCACGTGTATTGTCTTTCTTTTTATCCTAGTTTGTGAAATGTGGTTATGCTGGCTCCAACTTTCCAGAGCACATCTTCCCAGCTTTGGTTGGGAGACCTGTCATCCGGTCTACAGCGAAAGTGGGAAATATCGAGATCAAGGTAATATCCCCAAACCAGTCTCGGACACACCTGCAATAAGCAGCACTTGTGACTTTCTTTGTAATCATACTGGGTTAAAGAGCATATCTTTAAGAACTTATATTTAACTATGATTTTTTATTTTTATTTTATAGTGGAATGTTTTGGAAGTGGTGAAAGCTGAAATTTAAGAGCTATTTGTATAAAGATATTCAGGAGCTAACTTTCCTGCTGAGATTTATTTTATTTTTTTCCCCTCCACATTCAGAACTATGTCCCTGAATTACTCTTTACATATATCTCACTACATGTCAGCTGTCACATAACTAGGGGTACTTAAAATGCTGCAACAGGCTTGCTGATTTCAGAGTGCAATCCCACTCTGAGAGGGGGACGTTGGTGAGTGTGGGGGGTCTGTGTTTATCTAATGTGTTAATTTTCACATGCCTGAATTGAACTGTCATTCATACCCTTTGTTTTGACAGGTTGACCAGATATACAGTTGCCCCTATATGATAGTTTAGTTTCCTGTTTTTGTTTAAGTAGGTATATACATGTAAGCTAGCAATGTTCTTATGGCACTTTTTTTTTCCCTTTTGTCCCTGTGTTTTTGTTTTTTTATAATTGTAAATAGAATAGAAAAAAAATGGTAAGTACCTACCATTTGTGGGGTTTGTGCATCTTTTGTGTGATGATACATACCAGTTTTTTTTCCCCCCTGCTTGGTGTTTTGTTACATTACTGTGTTCTACTTGCTCCTGCACGTTTACTGAACTGGGCGCAGCGTGTCGTATTAACAACTTCAGACTGGAAAGGCAAGCCAAGACAGAGTTCAGTAAAATGTATAGAAACGTGCAATCTACAAACCGTGTGTATAGAATGAAGTACTCCTAGACAAAGTACACTAGGAAATGCCGGATATATTCAACCTAAAACTTGCTGTTGCCAAGGCAATAGCTAATTGCAACTTGGGGGGGGTGGGGTTTCTCATGCAAAAATCCCCTTGGAAGCCACTTGTTCAGTATCTTTAAATATCTGACAACTTGATAACCATGGCAACATTTGTGCACTTTAGATTTAGCTATAGGTTGGAGGAGGAAACTGAGGGGGGGAATAGGTTGCAGTGGCAGAATCTGTTGGAAGCACCATGTTTCCTGAATTTGCGCGTAATGCAAAGTAGTTCTTAACTATATAATATATAAATTTTCCGGAGCAATTTCAAATATTTTCTTTTTAAAATTCCAAAGTGAAAATGCTGCTTTCATGGGCAGTATTGATGCCAGCTCTTACAATTTCTCTTTAGAATGGCCCTATTTACATTAATAAAAATATGAATTGGAATAGAAATATTAATTATGTATTGGCTTAATTAGGGTGAAATGTTCTTACCTTAATGGAACAGATTGAAAGCTTTATTTGTGTAACTGCATCTTTTTGTTTCTCAAACATGGATACAAATGGACAGTAGAACGGTCATAGCTTTGAATCTTTTTTTTTTTTTTTTTCTTTATATCTTCTCCTTTGCTTGGAATACTATATAGCATGGAGATGATGGCTATTACATGGGATCCATAAGAACCAGTGGTGTATTTTGGATTTGTGCTGCCCTAGGCACGACTAAGTTTGGGCACCCACAAAATCTAAATTTGACCTCCCCCAATTCGTGTCAAGGCCATTTTTTTGATTTTCAGACACATGCCCTCATTGATACATGCACTGATATACACTCACTGACAGATACAGTCATTGGCACACACTGTTTAACCAACACACACTTTCACTGACAGACACACAGACACACCCACTCACTGACAGGCACACACTCTCAGATACACATAAAATGACATACACACTCACAGGCACACCCATTCTCACTCAGACACACACTGACAGCTATACTCACTCACTCACAGTAAGGTGGACAGCCCCAGAACACGAGGCAAACAAGACATTTGTCTGGGAGCTTGGGGTGGCTTTTGTTTGGTGCCCCCCTCAATCCCCCCCCGAAAGTGTCGCCCTAGGCAAATGCCTTGTTTGCCGTGTGGTAAATACATCCCTGCTAAGAACTAGAATTGAAAGATAACATTTGTCCTTTTACTGCTTGTTGATTAAAGGGACTGTACATTACCAATAAAACTAATGCATGTAATGCACAATTCTTTCTGATACAATGCTGCACTATAAGTCTCCTTGCTTAGCCACGCCCCTTCATGCCCAAAATACTTCTGAAAGGTAAGCATACAGTTTCTGCCCCCAACAGCACCGAGTGCGCTGCTTTCAATTCACAACCTGGCTGCAGACAGTCAAACTATAAACAGGTAATGATATCCTTACTATGTCTCCCTGGGTGTTCTCTCCTTCTAATGATGTTTGTTTTGTTGTTCATATCACTCGCTGCTGTCAGTGGCTGAGCTGTGTGCATACTTTTGAGAAGTATGTATTTTTCTGGTATGAACGGTATGTGGCTAAAGAGGCGGGCTTCTGGTGTAAGATTCTAAATTTTATTTATTTTTAGCAAAATAAAGATGTAAGTATGCAATAAAAATACAGCATATTAATAATGCCAAAACCATTAGAGCTGCAATGTCACAACTTTTTTTTTTATATAATTTGTTTTGTTATATATATTTTTTCCCCCTCAATATCTACCATTACATTTTTTTAAAATTTTTTTTGTGCACACAAGTCCGCCCATCCCCCACCCCCCCCCCTTCCCTTTACCTTTTTTATTTTTCAATATAATATTTAGATGGATCATCTTCTCAGCCGCTGCCAGGTCCCTTACCCTGGCATTGACTTTGCATCTCTGTCTTATACCTTCCTCGTCTTGTGGAGAATCTCAGATCTCACACGTGCTGACTGTCCCTCTAATTCAGTGGTAATGGGAGACTCAAGAAATGTAAGGCCAAGAGATACAATGGGCAGTTATGTACTCTAGGGCATTTTGTCTTGACAGAAAAGGAAGTGGAGCTTGCCTTCTAGGGACACTGTAGGCACTATAACCTTTTCATCTCATTGAATTGGTTATAGTGCCTGGAGTCCCCTGGTAATGTTCCTTCAAATAAGATGTCTGCTGGATGATGATGCAGGAGAATTAGAGTGCAAGTCGAAGCACTGGGGGAAAAGTAAAATATACATTTATTTTTTTCCCCTTTTCAAGGGGGGGCCTATATCTAGACAGCGTGGAGACACTGTGTTGTTAACAATATGTGTTTGTATTCCAAATTCTTCAGTGTTTCTTTAAAAAAAAAAATAAAAAAAATTTCAATGCTGAATTGAAGGACACCACCAGGGGAGTCTCCATACGCCATTACAAATTCGAGATGCAGCTGTTATGGTGTCTATAGTATCCCTTTAAACTCTACCCTTCTGTCTTGCAGAGGAAAATACACAAGGGATCGTAGGATCACTATTCCTTATGTATAAAAAAAATAAAAAGATTTGAGGGACAAGAAGAATGAATTAAGGAAAATTGAGTTTCAGGAGACAGAGCAGTTTTAAAGAAATACTATACGGTCAGAAAAACAAACCTGTATTCCTGACCCTATAGTGTTAAAACCACCATCTAGCCCCCTTAAATATAGTAAAATCTTGCTTGTTTTAAAGGCTGCTGCTGCTGGCTCTGCCCCTGAGTTGCCTGCATGCCTGAGATAATCAGAAGTGATTCTGTGAGCCCATCACAATGCTTTCCCATAGGATTGGCTGAGACTGTCAAGATGGCAGATCAGGGGCAGAGCATGCACAAGTCAAACACGACTCTGGCCAATCAGCATCTCCTTATTGAGACCCATAGAATCAATGCATCTCTGAGGAAATTTCAGTGTCTCCATGCAGAGGGTGGAGACACTGAATAGCAGTACTGTACAGTGTGCAGCATTGCCCCAGGAAGCACCTCTATTAGGCATCTGAGGAGTGGCCAGTGGAGGTATCACTAGGCTGTAATGTAAACACTGCGTTTTCTAAGAAATTACTGTGTTCACTGCAAAAACCTGAAGGGAATAATTACATTCACCAGAACAGATACAATAAGCTGTAGTTGCTCTGGTGACTATAGTGCCTTTTTAAAATTGTGTTAGTGCTCGGAGTGTACCTTTATAATATATCAGGTTTTTTTTCTGCCACACATCTGACTGCATTTTTAGGGGGTATATGGAAGAGTCAAGCACTGAGCCAAAGGATGTGGAAGATGTTTCTTCTGATCCATCAGTCCCCGTCCCTCCACCCCAACCCCCCGTTATCTCCCCATTTCATTAAAAGTTAATGGCCAGTTACAAGGCTTTTTGGTTCCATTCTATAATGAATGGTTTGGGTTTTTTTTGGTTTCCTTGAGACAGATGCAACTTGGATTTACGGATTTCCGAAATTCACAACAGGTTTTGCAACCTCTGGAAGAAGTTGTGCTGAGCAATTTGGTTTACTTCATGCATATGTGTGTTTCCAGTGAACAGATAAAAATATATATATGTGTGTATATATATATATGTGTATATATATATATATATATGTGTATGTTTATGTGTAACGGAGCCTGTGTGTTGGCCTTCACGTGTAATCTATCTCTGTAAGTCTGGACAAAATACTCATTATACCAGTTTAACCAAAACATTAATAGCACTTAAGCAATAAGGTAACGCAACATATAAATAAAATTGTACCCCTGTAATACATGATTTAAAGGCTGGACACAATGTATTAGGAAACCAGTAAATTAACATTATATATTTAAGCGTCCTGCACATGTTCATTTACTAGGCAGATGATAAAAGAATTTACTTGAACACTATTTCCTGTTGGGAAAGACTGTTTGCAGCCTTTAAATGAATACACGAAGCACCATATTCACTCCAGTTTTCTGGCTCTGTCCCACAATTAAGAGTCAATAGGGGATCAAGGGACCCCCTCCGGGTGCAAGGATTTTTGGCTACTACTGCTCTTCTTCCCCTTCTTTGTGCCGTACTCCCATATATTAAGATGCCGCCCATCATCCAGAATGGCTGTGTCCCCACAGAGCCTCCTAACAGGGCTAGATTTACTTTTAAGGGATTTGTGCAACCAAAAAACATTTTAATTTTTTTAAAATACTGTTTTTGGATACAGTAATCCTTGCTGGCATGCCTCCCATCTGGTGGGGATATGGGGGCTATGGTGGGTGCAGGTGGAGGGTGTGGGGACAGTAGAATACATCTAGAAGAGCTTACCTGTACCGTGTGCCAGGCTGCTGCTCCTTTTCTTCCAGGTGCTATGCAGAAGAGGACTGGACCTGACATAACCCCCCGGGCCCCGCCTCTTCCTCCTCACACAGAGGGAGAACCCCTGAGTGAGGGGAGGTGGTCACTTACAGTGCGATAGGTTGCAAGGGGCCCTGCAATCTATCGCTGTAATGTGATTAATTCATGATTTCTGGCTGGGGGTGATCGAAGATCTGTTCAGCCTGACTGGTTCGAGCCCTCAGCCCATGACTGATCTGCCCAAGTGGTCAGTCCACTCCTGACTGTCATACTATTTTTATTTTTTTAGTTTAAAGGTTCTTTTTAATAAAAGAAGTGTTTTAGTAAACTGGTTAACGACCAGGTGCCCTCTTAAATGCAGTTTAAAGACATGTCAAGTATTTGGAGCGCACATCTGACCTCCATAACTTGCATCAGGAATGTAGGCGCACGGACTTTCAACTTTTATGTATTTGAAGACGCATGTTAACACAACTACTCCAAACTATTGTGTTGAGGAAACCGTAACTTCGCTTACATTGCTGTAAAATATTTGCCTGCTCTTTAAATCCATTGTAGTCACTAACATACACTTTAACATGTTTGAGCAGTTTATTGGCAAACCGCATGCATATTTTCCAAAATGTATGCCATATTAATGCTGAATTGTACCAAGGTGTTTTTTTTATTTTTTTATTAAGAAGTAAAAATGTCAATGACAAGTTACATGAAATAAATGCAAAGAGTCTAAACGTTGCTTTTTCTACAGAGCCTTATTTTCAAGCAGATATGTGTTGGGGATGGATATGGATATATATACATTTTTTACACACACCGCCACCCCTGATTTCCTGAAGGGATCAGGAGTATGATTTACTGCAGTAACTAATATTAGTGGAGTGCTTCTTTCATATAGTATCTTTTTTTTTTTTTGACAGTGAAATTGCCGATTATGTGTCCTGTAGCACTAACCGTAAATAAGTCTGTTGTGATGAATTCAGAGGCTGCGTATCTCATCTGTGACTATTATACATTTTTAGGATCTAATGGTTGGAGATGAAGCAAGTGAATTACGTTCAATGCTTGAGGTGAACTATCCCATGGAAAATGGCATAGTGCGGAACTGGGACGACATGAAACACCTCTGGGACTACACATTTGGTCCTGAAAAATTGAACATAGACACCAGAGACTGTAAAATTCTACTCACAGAGCCCCCCATGAACCCAACTAAAAACCGTGAAAAGATTGTGGAGGTGAGTTTCAATCCATCCATATGTAGCACAAAAATAGTATACTGCTTGTTCCCTCCTTATGTTCTAATAGTACCGCGCGCTTAAAGCCAAAATAAAGAAGCCATGTGAAAAACCAAGTACACCTTATGATTCAATAGCTTATAGAACAACCTTGAGCAACAATAACTTGAATAAAAAATGTTTTTAATGACTTTATCAGTCTCTCGTTGTGGAGGAATTTTGGCCCACTCTTTTTTGCAACATTGCTTCATTTCATTGAGGTTTGCTGGTATTGTTTATGAACAGCTCTTTTAAGGTCCTGCACCAGCACTTCAATCGGTTTAAGATCTGGACATTGACTGACTGGTCCATTGCAACACCTTTATTCTTTTATTTTTCAGCTATTCTGTTGCAGATTTCCTGGTATGCTTGGAATATTGTCCTGTTGCGTGACCTAATTTTGGCCAAACTTTAGCTAACAAGCAGGTGGCCTCACATTTAACACTAGAATACTTTGGTTCAATGACTGTAAGGTTCCGAGGTCCTGTGGCTGCAAACAAGCCCAAAATATTACTACTACTAGTACTAGTGGCTGTCAGGAAAACAGAGTTAAACTCTATTCTCAACCCAATGTTACTCAGCTTTTGGTTGCTCATGCTCACTAGTCTTTCAGTGTATTGGATTTGCTGAGATCATTGGGTCAGATAATGATTTGAACAATGGTGCATAAAGATGGCAGTCAAAAAGATGGACTGGGAAAAGGTGGGCAAGTGATTGCATCCTAAATTTGACCTAAAAATGATAGTGTAACAAAGATTATTCTAATGTTAAATGTTGAGTGTTCCTTTAAATTGAATCTCAAACATTCTTCCCTCAGTGACTTTTCCCTATAAATAGTGCAGGACCACTCTAGAGAATTAAAACAATTACTGTATTAGCGGCTCTTACCACAGATTAGGATTCTCAGATGAGTTATATATTCAGACTGTTCATCACTATTCATCTGATTACCACAAAACACACGCTACATTTACTTCACTGAAAGATCATAATATACACAGATGAATTCGCTGTACTGTAAAAGTTTAACTTTCTCTTCAGTTGAAGTTAGTTCTTGTGGGTGAATTATCAATTTATTTTATTTTAGATCTGTTTTTGTCTGTCTGTCCTAATCTTATCTGTCTTACCCTGAAGTGACACCTCTTTTGCTTCCAAGTACTACTGCACATTCCATCGCTGGTATTTCTAAAGGAGATAGCCGGTATTTCTAAAGGAGATAGCCGGTATTTCTAAAGGAGATAGCCGGTATTTCTAAAGGAGATAGCCGGTATTTCTAAAGGAGATAGCCGGTATTTCTAAAGGAGATAGCATTAAAACTTCCAGAAATCCCTGGTTTGTGCTTAAAGCTTGGAGGATAAGCTCTCAGAAGTGCTATGAAAAGTGATCTGTATATATGGCTGAGTGCTCACTTCAGATCCTACACAGCTTTATGATTATCCTTTATTTTAATTTGTGTAATGAACTAAAAATAGGATGAATGCAACCTAGGATGTCACTTTAATTTTTTGCCTATGCGGTTAACCATGCTAATGAAATTACTTTAATTTTTTTTTTTTTATTCTAGGTTATGTTCGAGACATACCAATTCTCTGGTGTTTATATTGCTATTCAGGCTGTTCTTACATTATATGCACAAGGTGAGTAACTTAACACCGTGAAAGGGAAGAATAAAAAGTAGATCTCTTTCCATGAAGTGTAGAGGACGGCTCTGAGTCGGTCGTGGCAGGTGTCACTAGGGGTGTATAAATCACATGATGTTATTCTTTTAGTGGCAGAGAATTGAGCAATGAGAGTGCAGGGGCATTAGATATATACATCTCTATCAAAACAATTTAATTAAGTTTGTTGTTTTGTTGCTTGGTATCCCTTAAGTTACCCTGTTTGAAGTAAATCCTCGCACTATCCTAGTATCACTTGATACTCAACTGATGCCCTTAGCTTATAGCTGCTGCCCCAGTCTGAATGGACTTTATTATTCTGATTCAGAATTGGAAAAGGGCTTGCAGCCCTCTAGCACCTTTACCACTGTAATGGCCTGCAGGCCTCCCATCCATACTGATTTTCAAAGGGACCGTTATGATTTTCGGTTGCTGTCCTTACTTTGGATCCTGTTGTCCTGCTTTTTATGAACACTAAGAAACTGCCCCCAAAGAGTGTCCAGCTATTCTGGATGACCCAAGTGGGATATGGGAATGCAGTGGTTTGATGTTTACACTGCTCATATGACCGTGCTGGCAGGTGATCTAAGGGTGCCACAGAAATTATTGCCTTCTCCTGCGATACCTCTTCTGGACCAGGCTAATATAAAGGTTGTGGGGTGGACGAAGGGGTGTTAACTTTACAAACTCTTAATTTTTGCAACAAATCTTCAGTTTCGTATTTTCTGTGTTAGAAATGTTGTGCATACTAATGATCTTTTGCCATTCTTACAGGGTTATTGACTGGGGTAGTTGTGGACTCTGGAGATGGTGTCACTCATATTTGCCCAGTGTATGAAGGTTTCTCTTTGCCTCACCTCACCCGAAGATTAGACATTGCTGGCAGGGATATCACCCGTTATCTTATCAAGGTAAATATATTCATGCAGTGTGTACAGTAACCTGTACCTGTGGAGGGACAAGTTTTGGATTTTCCAGTACAGCCCTATTCACATATTCTACCATTCATATGATAACCTAGTACAGGGCTTGACAAATGGGATTTGTCAGCCTTTTACTTCAAGTGGCCAGCTGGGCAAACAATGGAGCCGGCCGACTGCCCGTGGGAGCATGGAGGCGACTGGCTCAGGGAGCATTGGAGCCGGCCGCCCTGGGCTGTATGGAGGGGGGAATGTGTGTGTGTGTCGGGGGGAGGGGTTGAGAGAGGGTGTCGTCGATTGGGGGTAGGTACCTGCCCCTCTCCAATTACATGATTGGTCTTTTTGTGTACCTTTTTTTGTCAAGCCCTGACCTAGTAATACACTTCTAAAGTATTGCCTAAACCTAGGTTGACTTTAGTCATTTGTAAGTTCTATAGCACCATCTTGTGGTTAGAATTTGAACTTCAATGCTCAGAATGTCTCCCTTTCGGAATCCTGATAATGTAATTTTTACCATAAGTAATTTTTTTTATTTTTGTAAATATGTAAAAAGCATAGACCACTAGGAAACTTTTGAATGATTGCACAAATGATCTGGACCAAGTATGTCTGTAAGAGATGTTTGTAACCAAATACCTTTAATTGTATCCCATTATCAAGCTCCTCAATCATGAACTTTTCCTATTTACTGCCTTTATAGCCAGATAATAAACTGATGCTTATGCAGCTAATTGGCTTCAGTTGAATCACCCTTGTGACTGCATGGTTGGGGTGAATATATCTGGAATGTTAATCAACAAATGTTTTTGAAAATAATAAAATAAGCTTCACGCTGAACTTTGCGTAGGAACCAATGCTAAATAACCAGTCACATTGTAATTTCCACAGTTACTTTTATTGAGAGGATATGCTTTTAATCACTCTGCTGATTTCGAGACTGTTCGCATGATCAAGGAGAAGTTGTGTTATGTAGGATACAACATTGAACAGGAGCAAAAACTAGCTCTGGAAACGACAGTCCTTGTTGAGTCTTACACGGTGAGTTTCATCGAAGATTCTAAATTCTTCATTTTGGCAACTGAGCGAACAAAAATTCAAGTTTTCAAATATTTCCAAATGCTGTTTTCAAAAGTAAACTCTGCTTTATCACATTAGAATTTCTGCATTGGACTACTTGTCATCTGTCCATATGTCCATTTTTGAAGTGGTTATGCAGTCTGGATGATGTCACTACAGCCCAACAGATTAATTTAATTTCACTGTGACAAAACAAGACTCGAAATTACACTACTACATATAGAAAGACTTACTATGCTATCAGGGCCCTAAAGTGTAATTCCTAGCTTTCGGGCTGACAGGACTTGTAGGCAGAGTTTGGGGTTTGGAGGTTTAAAGCCCCGTTTTGCCATAATGAAGTAGAATTCAGTTGAAAGGTTGCAGAGATAGTGTATTGGCATCATGACAACGCCAAACTGAAGTGGTTATGGTTCATAGAGGTCCTCCATTAAAGTACATTAATTTCCTTTTGAAAAAAAAGTGGAATACATAATTTGTACTTCTGGCTGTTTCCTAGGAAGAGTATTTTATTAGGGCTTTTTTCTTGTGATTTAAAAAACATTGCAAGCACCATAATCCGTACAGCCCTGCATGTGTATAATTCTTTATGCTGCCCCATTGATAATGGTGCTATATTAAATGGAAATAAGCCATGTTTCTGCTTGTAATACAAAGTAAATAAAGTAAAGCAAATGGGCCAATTTAGAGTTTAGCTCCAGTGACAACCTAAATGTTTGTAAAACTGTCTCCGTAGTTAGTGATCACAGTGTTAAAGGTTTTTGCTATAAAATGTAAAAGGATTGATTAAATTATAAAATAAATATGCTAAGAATATTCATTTTGTATGTTTATAACATGGATTTATACCAAATGTCTTAAATCGCATTTAGCAATTCCTTTGTTAAAGACCGTAAACGCAAATCACTGTTAAACAGTTGTGAACCATTCTGTATCAGGTGATGCTCCAACCTTAATTATATAGCATGTATGACTGGTCGTGTAGTATATACTGATTTCGAAATCCTTTTTATTAGTCTACTGGCAGGTTGGTTGCAAGTTTTCTATGCTTGTGTTTTGAGACTTATTAAAAAAAAAAAAAAGGAAAAACACATATATTTGTGTATTGTATGCAAAAAAATTTAAAAATAAATATATATATATTTTTATTTATTTCCTAGGGCTCTCTGACACCAGAGGGCATGATACACCTTCTCTACTCATTAGGCCTCGAGTAGCTCCATGGTTTTTAAGTAATAAAATGTGACATTGTAAATGTTATGTTTTTTTTCCTTTTTATTGCACAGCTTCCAGATGGCAGGGTTATTAAAGTAGGTGGAGAACGCTTTGAAGCACCAGAAGCTCTGTTCCAGCCTCATCTTATCAACGTAGAAGGCGTTGGCGTAGCAGAGTTGCTGTTCAACACCATTCAGGCAGCTGACATTGATACTCGGTGAGAATTTCTGTACTTTGTTCTTTTGTAGAGTCAATGCTGCTGGCACTGCTAAGTCATTTAATCACATGTGATCAGGAAGAAATGTGATAATTTATTTGCTTCATATAGAAAGGGGGAAAAAGTAAAAAATAACACAAGATTTATGCAGTGCTCAATAAACCAAGTAAATTTTTTTTTTGTTTTTTTTTAATTCATTCTTATCCTGCTTTTGAAAACCTAAATACGCAAGCTTGGAATGTAATAAAGTGGTTTAAGATTAGTAATGTCTGAAAATAGGAGAAGCAAATTGTCTGTATAGTAAATATTATGGGATGGATTTTGGGGGTTAGTGAGGTCTCTCATGGGTTTGTTTTTTAGATATCTATTTTTTTTTTTTTCCTTTCTTGAATAGCTTGTTTTGGGGTGATGGAAGGAGGATCTGTGACTTTCAAAGATGTAGCCGTATTTATTTTTTAAATAAGAATTTCAGCAACACGATCATAGGAGAGTTAGATTAGCATCAATCATGCTGGACATTCTGAGCACTGATTACTGGGATGTTGCCTCTTATCAGGACTATGGGGTCACTTAATCATTGCTTTTAACCTTTTTCAGGAATAATTCGTTTTACAATAGACGGTATAAATCTGTATATTTTATGGGTTAACTTATCCGCAAATATAGACTTAAATCTATATTGCACCTCTAATTTTTGGAGGTCAACTTATACGCAGGCATATACAGTGCATTTAGTACTATTTTTTTTTTTTTTCTGACTCCAGTAATTCAATAATTGCTTTCAACATCACTGGATTTTGTCTACACGATTGCCTACTATTGGCAGAATTGAGGTTAAAAAAATCTCAAAATGCATATTAATTCTGTTTTAGATGTAACATTAAGGACAATCTCAGATTTGGTAAATTACCTCCTGGGGATGACTTCCTGTGCCTCCTATATATGGTGATCAAGCGATGTGCATCTAACTTCTTCTGCACAGCTGCAGTGTTTGACATTGAGTTGGCTGAAAGCGCCAGCTGACCACTCTCACCCAATGACTGTCATTCTCCATAATGAAAGCAGCACAGAACTCTAGTCCTGGGTGGGCTGGCATCCCTATGACACTGATGGGGATGGAATTATACCTATGGTAGCAGAGTGGTATGTGCAGTGTTTCAAAGCAAAACACTGCACATACAGATTTCAGGCATCATGATCACTTTAAATCATGGAAGTAGTCATGGTACTTGGAGTGACTCTTTAATCTTCTAGCTTCTGGTTAAACATTTCTGTAATTTTATTTTTATTTTTCTCCAAATTTTGCATGAGTATAAATTGCAATTTGAGTTGTTTTGTTTCTTCATTTACAATATAGCTATTGCATGGTTTAAAACATTAGCTGTTTTTTTACATATGTGAAATGTTATGCCATGTTTGCAGGTCCGAATTCTACAAACACATTGTGCTGTCAGGTGGTTCCACCATGTACCCAGGACTGCCGTCCCGTTTGGAACGAGAACTTAAACAGCTATACTTAGAGCGAGTACTGAAGGGAGATGTTGAAAAACTATCGGTAAGTCTGCAAAATTAGGGTACCCGTGCCACTTTTTTGTTATGAATCGTTAAGCTTCAATACTAGAAAATTAGCTGGTATGCTAAGCACAAGCAGGTCACTCTCAGTAGACGCATGTTAATTAAAGCTCCTTAGTTCTTTATGAATTGTTGGTTAAAAATGATGGCATTTTGACAGCAGCAGCTGGATTCACGTTTTGGCTACTCCAGTTATGGTCTATATATCGTAATGAAGACCGAATCAATATCTTCATATATACTTGTGTAAGTGATAAAAGTAGGGGGACGGGGCGGGGAATACTTTTGCTGTGAAATTCAAGCATTAATTTCAGATACATGCAAGGATTTTATCAAATCATATATATCTGTAGTCTGCCAATGGCATAGATGGAAATATAGATGGTTGAAACATCTAATTGAGCAGGGCCCTCCACCTCTCTGTAACCAGACAACTGGACGTACAGGAACAATTACATGTCTGTTAGTCCACCCATTGTACAGCGCTACGGAATCTGATTGCGCTATATAAATAATAAAATAATCTAAGAAGTACTTTGAATCAGAGTGCAATATAGTTGCAATTTAGTGCTGAACTTACTACTGGGCAGAGGTATCTTGGTTACAAGGAAAAAACCTCCAGGGACCATTTTAGGAGGGCCCTAATTAAAGCAGTAGACCAAAAAGAGGCTCCTCATGTGTTTTTAGCAGAAGCAGCATGACTTTAAAAGCAAGCATTTTTTTTTCTTTTTTTTTTTTTTTTTACATTTTGTTGCACTTTCCAATGTATTATGTATATTAGCGGTGTTCAAAGGTAGATCTCAAAAAGTTTTAAATCTACAGCTTCCGTGATGCTTTGTCATTCTACAGACATGCAAAGCATCATGAGGTATCTACCTTCTTGCCATCTAGGGATCTACCTACTTGCCTTTCCCGATGTGTATATAATATTTAAAAAAAAAAAAAAAAATTCCAGCAAGCGACCATCTGTTTAATTCCAGTTAAATGTAACTGACTGCAGGCATGTCCCATAAACTTTACATACAGATTTATTTTCTTCTAAATTATTTTTATTTTTATTTTTTTTTTATTTTTTTTAACAAACTAATTTTAAAGTGACGCACTGTTGTCTCTTTACTTACAAATTGAATGCAATGGATTTACTTTGCGTCCACTACAGATGTTAGTAGCAACTTTTAAAAGTAGCAACTTTTCCTAATGGTATTTTCTCCTTTTTCATTAATTTTCTGAGCATTTTTTTTTTTTTTTAAATTTGTAAATGGTCTAAAAATGTATTTTCTGAATTACAGAAATTCAAGATCCGCATTGAAGATCCTCCCCGTCGCAAGCATATGGTGTTTCTGGGAGGTGCAGTGTTAGCAGATATCATGAAAGACAAAGATAACTTCTGGATGACTCGTCAAGAGTACCAGGAGAAGGGTGTGCGCGTGTTGGAGAAACTTGGCGTGACGGTCCGATAAACTGAGCCCCCTGTGCCCATTGCTTCTCTAAAGCTCTCCTTATTTCCTTTATTGCCAATCTTTGAACTCATTCAGCTACATGACTCGGAAAGGCCTGCTTGTGCCCTTTTGACCTACAAGGTCAAATATTTGTCCTGTTTCCTGGGGTGAGCTTTGTTAAATATGTGTGGCTGAATTTGACTATTTTGTTCACCCGTTTCTTTTTAAAAACAAAGCTCTATTAACAGGCACTATCTCCTCCATTGTCTGTCCCTAATAGGCATTTGGCTAATTGCAGTAGACTTTTTTTTCCCACTTAGAGTGCTGCTTTAAAGCTGCTAGCTTCATCTTTGCTCACCTGGAGGTTTGCCTTTATTATCATTAAAAATTATAAAAAATATTTTTAAAAAGCAGCTATTAGCACCACATCCTGAATATGTTTAACTTTGCTCCCTCTTCTGCACAATCATGCTATCTCTGTCCTCACAATTCTGAAAAGAAAAATGTCTATCACCATTAATCACTGAAATAACCAATTGGGAACAGGCCCTGCAGTTATTGAAAAACTTCTGACATTCTGAATTTATAAATTTTTTTGTTTTAACCCCCTTCTTTTAACCTTGGGACGGAATGGTACATTTCCTCTATAATGTAATGTATGTTGGGCATATGATTTTTCTTTTCTTTTTTTTTTCTTTTTTTTCTTCTTTCTGTTCTATGTCCTATTAACAAAGCACTTGAGCACATGAGGAGGTCAGTTGTGAACAAGCTCCATACAGTTCATTCCCAAAATGGTGAAAGGTGACAAACGTGTATGTGATTTATTTCTAAATATAAGATAAACTGTATCTATTCCTTTGTTCAGTGGTTTATTTTTTATTATTGTGCTTTATTTTGTCTATTGTGTTTTTGTTTTTTTTCATGATTTTTAATAGCGCTTCCTGAAGTGCCACTGGTTTTAAAAGCGCCATTCCTTTTAGTGCCAAGTGCTCTAAAATGGAGCTTGACATTTTTTGTTCCTTTTTGCACTCAACATTTTTTATCTTTAATTTGTGTACGGGCTTAAACCCCTTCTGTTCAGGAATTCTTGAAACCTATCAAAATTTATTTAACTTGCGAGGGTTTAGCCAATGGAATAATGATTTAAATAGCCTTTAATGTTGCACTTCAGGAAATCATACAGTGAATAATATGCTGTATTTGTGTTCTGTGCTTAGTACCTTAATACTTTTCTTTTACTCAAATAACAAATCCATTTAACAGTGCTTTCCTATTAAGTGTAAATAGATATACCGTGCACACATGCATATTATTGACCTAACCTGTTATATGCATAGCACTGACTGTATTTCTTGTGAAATCTTACAAATCCAGATCTATAGTTAAATTGAGAGAGAGAGAGAGAGTAGATAACGGTTAGGGGGATCCATACTTTCCTCCTGATTACGTATTGTCGCTGTGTGTAGAAGAGAGCAAAATGTAACAGCAGAGATCTGTACATTGCAAACAATATATTTTTATTTTGTGAAGAACAGTGCGAATCACTGCCATTGTATATTGGGACACATTTCAAAAGAGTAAAACCTTGACCTATTGAAATGAAGTCAGGGTTTAATATAATATATTTACATTACAGTAACTGAATTTCAAAGCATTGCAAAGTTTATGTGCAATAGTCACGTGCATTCCTATTCTTTTTATCTATAGAATCACATTTATTTTAGAAGCATATTAAAGGCAAACCTCAGTCAATAATGCTGATACTTTGGTATTAAAATAAATTTACCTTCAACATACAGAACATACAATTTGCTATTGGGTTAGTGATTTTTAATTTTTTTATTTTTTCCCTTTCTCCACCGCCCTTCCCCTTCCCTTCCTTTCTGTGTCTTGGAATTTTGAGGTAATTTTTAAACTAATTTGGAATAAATTGGTCATTCTGTCTGAACCATGTGTCCTATTTTCTCACATCCTGTATATTGGAGAGTGGCAATCGCACTCTTACACAAGACAATTAGTTGAAAATTTGGAATTTAGCGACGACAGATTTGTACAACATTGATGTTGTTGGGAAGCAAGACATTATTTTCAATGTATTCAGGAAAAGACAGTAAAATGCGATATTTATAGTTGTAGCTTGCCATGTATTTAGGACATCTTTGGAGCAAACATGATTTAATGGTATAGCTTTTGAGAGATATAGCCAAGGTAATTAAAGTATCACTAAAGGGGGGAACAATTGTTAAGTGCTATTTAGATTTTAGGGTACTCCATTATTCACTACAAAAATGCTTCATTTTACATGTTACCATCTGCAGTTCAGCACTGATGCAGCCTGCTTTGCCTCTGCTGATGTCATCAGGCTTGATAACCATTTTGTTCAATTAAATGCTTCTCATTGAGAGCAATAGCAAACTTAATGTACATGTGCACCAATCAAATGCTTCTATCAGTGAAGAAATGAATCTGGTCTCACTGTGAAAGCTCCCTCTAGTGGCTGTTAGGAAGATCTCATCCTAAACCTGATTATGAAAACATTGCTGTATCTGCATAATGGCAATGTTTTACGCTGTGAGAGAAAAAAAAATGCATGGCCACTGCACACAGACAACTTTGAGATGACGTGGTTTAGGTGAAAAATGGTAGTACTTTAAATTAATGTATTATCGACCATGAAGGCATTATGTAATACCAGTGCAGTCCACTGGTACATTTGTGTTTATTTACTTTTTTTTCATGCATGTGTATATACAATATTTTTCAATTTCAGGAGCAACATTATTCTGTTTCTGTCCTGATGACCACCATTTATAGTTATCCTTTGTCAGAGGGCAGCTAATACATGACTGTAGATCACTCTTCTCTGGCAAGATTGCTGCATGTACACTTTGTGATTTAGCTGCCTTACATGATTCTGTGAAAAGTTGTCACAGTGGGAACATTCAACATAATGGACAAAGCAGGGTGGTTTTGTGGTCGGGTAAACACTTCTTGCAGCAGAGCATCCCTTAAAATGACAGTGCTCTGGGAGGCACCCTGATCCTGCTCTCGCAGCAATTGTAAAATCTCTAATCTGTCTATACTTGCTGCAGTTATTTCCCACCAAAAAGTTACATTAACCTTCTGTGGCTGTTTTCATGTAAAGAGAATGCATCTGTAATATGTGGTATTACATGAAAAAAGGTATATGTAGATTTGTGTGTTTTGAATAGTTACATTCAGGTTATATATTATGAAGCATTTCAAAAAGGATTAAAGCGAACACTGAATTAGACATTAATGAGATTTTGTGTGCTGTGTGCATTTTAGCTTTACAATGCTATGACTCTAATGGTACTGTTCTAGGAAAACATCATGTGTCAATCTATGCAATGATATTCATTCTCCACTACATGATTCAATTTGTGTCCTTCATTTTTCCCTTCTTTGTGTTATCCATATACATTTTCATTACCATTTCAGTGGTTGTGACCCTACCTCTCTGTTGGCCTCCACGGGCCGCTTCCTGGCCAGGCATTAGTGCCATACTGAAAGGAATCTTACATTTTAGCCTGTTAACTGCTTGCATCAAGAACTATACATCAACCACTGCACTCAGGCCATTTCAGGTGGACCTTTCACATTTGTAAGAATCAGGCTGTATTCAGAGTATACTCTTCATGCGATGCTTATACCCAGGAAGCACAATATTTTGACACTGTAGTAGATAATTGTACCAACAGGATACAAATGTCATGTGCAAAAAAAAAAAACCCACCCCTGGCAAGATTTCAGCAGACAACCACTGCCTGTAAAGATCAAGAAAATAGCAGCTTATTATAAAAGTGGCACCGCTCTTGCATTCTCATGTTTCACCAAAACAGTCACTGTGGCCAGGTCTCTCTTTCCCTCTGCTCTTGTAGGTACAAGGTGCTTGCATGACTCCCCAGCAGTATGAAAGCTAAACAGTGAAGTCAGACCCTGGATATTTAGATCTCTGTACAGTGTGTTGTGTGAGAGCTGGGTGCTCCACAGTCACCACAATGTGCAGAGTACTTCAATACACAGCCTGCTTACAGATTTATAGTTGGGAAGATCCAGAGTAAGAAGAAAAGTGTTAAAGTGAAGTTAAAAGGGTATTGGTCCCCTAACTTTAATGTGATTTTTATCTTTTAAATTATATCTATTATTCTAGCCAAATTTCATGCAAAATTATTGCTACAAAGGTATATCCATTTAATTATTTTGGATTTAGCCAATGACCCGTGCTTAGTTATTGTAATGGCGTTTGCTGTGGAGCAAACATGCATCCATATTTTGCTGCTGTCCTGTGTTTTTACAGCGGCCTTGTTATTGGAAGAGGTCTGCAGTTGTGTAAGCAACTTTTTAACTCTGTGTAGTATCACATTCTCAATAATGACATGCATTAAGATTAATAGAGATGGATGTGAACTGTCTCCTCCTAGAAAACATGAAATTTAATCAGATTATAACCCAAAGTCAAAATGTTGTGGAAACAATAGGTTAGATTTCTTTGCAAAATATAGTTTAACTGCATAGCCTTGCAAAGTGTGAGTTAGTTGCAACCATTAATATGTTACATTTTGAAACTGTAGACAATTGTGCTAACAGAACTCAAAATTTCCACTTCAATTCTAGCCATTGGCTCGTGGAAAATCAGGCATGGGACAAGTACCATAATAACGCTATTAAAGTTCATGAAAAAATTATTTATCATGTTACCCTTCTTTTAAAATGATCTGCAAGACCCAGATGGAATGTAGTTATATTTTCATGCTCAGTCTCATCCTTCTCACAGCTCACTATGTAGGTTTACTGCTATCTGACCTTGCCTCTAAATAGACACAGCAGAAGACATTAATATAGCAACCAAAACGAGAGACCCTTAATATAGCATCAGCAAAAAAAAAAATTCTTAATTTCACAGAGCAGTAACTTTTTAAAATATGACATCTGGAGGAAAAAAATACCACTTGCAAGATTTTATTAAAGCATTTTATTATGCTAAAAACATGACAACTGCTAATGGAATCTGTTTGCTGTGAAGTGTTACTACCTACCGCCTTAACACTGCGTCTTTTGGAAAGTAATGGGTGGCCACACTGACTCTCATATTCTATATTTACTTTAAACACAGTGGCAATATTGAGTGGTCTGTTTTTCCTGCATGCTACGTTAAGGTTCGATACTACCAAGCAAGATTTGCACGATTTCATTTCTGGGCATCTCCAATCTTTTTCCATACGCCTACTCCATTCTGCTCCTTTATCATCACCATCTCCTACTCTTTTGCAAACATTATGTAACTGGAAAAGATCTTCCCATAATTTTTATGGGAACCCACAATTCCAAGTTCATTCCGTCAAAGTCTTTCGTTGGAAAGTAAACAAAGTAGACTTAATGCAAAAATGGTCTGTGTTAAAATGATTTTAAATATTTAAGTTTAAAAAAAAAAAACATTTGTATAGGCCTATATTATTATTATTGCTATTTATATAGCGCCAACAGATTTTGTAGCGCTTAGGAGCTATAGGGAGAACACTATACACTTAAAATGCAAAAGTCTGTTTTTAGAGTAGATATCTGTTATGAAATGGTTTCATAAATATTATAAAAAAAATTGGGGGTTTTCGAGTCAAAGTGTTAATGTTCCTTAAAGGAGCACTCTGGGTACAAATACAACTTAATATATGCACTGCTCCAAAAAAATAAAGGGAACACAAAAATAACACCCTAGATCTGAATGAATTAAATATTCTTCTGAAATACTTTGTTCTTTACATAGTTAAATGTGCTGAGAACAAAAATCACACACAAATTAAAAAATGGAAATCAAATTTTTCAACCCATGGAGGTCTGGATTTGGAGTCACACTCAAAATTAAAGTGGAAAAACACACTACAGGCTGATCAAACTTTGATGTAATGTTCTTAAAACAAGTCAAAATGAGGCTCAGTAGTGTGTGTGGGGCCTCCAAGTGCCTGTATGACCTCCCTACAATGCCTGTGCATGCTCCTGATGAGGTGGCGGATGGTCTGAGAGATCTCCTCCCAGACCTGGACTTATGCATCTGCCAACTCCTGGACAGTCTGTGGTGCAATGTGACAGTGGATGGACCGAGATATTTTGTCCCAGGTGTGCTCAATTGGATTCAGGTCTGGGGAACGGGCAGGCCAGTCCATAGCATCAATGACAGTCTTGCAGGAGCTGCTGACATACTCCAGCCACATGAGGTCTAGTATTGTCTTGCATTAGGAGGAACCCAGGGCCAACCGCACCAGCATATGGTCTCACAAGGGGTCTGAGGATCTCCTCTCTACCTAATGGCAGTCAGGCTACCTCTGGCGAGCACGTGGAGGGCTGTGCGGCCCCCCAAAGAAATGCCACCCCACACCATTACTGACCCACTGCCAAACCGGTCATGCTGGAGAATGTTGCAGGCAGCAGAACATTCTCCACGGCGTCTCCAGAGTCTCACGTCTGTCACGTGCTCAGTGTGAACCTGCTGTCATCTGTGAAGAGCACAGGGCGCCAGTGGCGAATTTGCCATTCTTGGTGTTCTCTGGCAACACTTAAACAACAAAATGTAACTCCAAGTCAATCACACTTCTATGAAATCAAACTGTCCACTTAGGAAGCAACACTGAGTGACAATCAATTTCACATGCTGTTGTGCAAATGGGATAGACAACAGGTGGAAATTATAGGCAATTAGCAAGACACCCCCAATAAAGGAGTGGTTCTGCAGGTGGTGACCACAGACCACTTCTCAGTTCCTATGCTTCCTGGCTGATGTTTTGGTCACTTTTGAATGCTGGCGGTGCTTTCACTCTAGTGGTAGCATGAGACGGAGTCTACAACCCACACAAGTGGCTCAGGTAGTACAGCTCATCCAGGATGGCACATGTGAGCTGTGGCAAGAAGGTTTGCTGTGTCTGTCAGCGTCGTGTCCAGAGCATGGAGGCACTACCAGGAGACAGGCCAGTACATCAGGAGACGTGGAGGAGGGCAACAACCCAGCAGCAGGACCGCTACCTCCGCCTTTGTGCAAGGAGGAACAGGGGGAGCACTGCCAGAGCACTGCAAAATGACCTCCAGCAGGCCACAAATGTGCATGTGTCTGCTCAAACGATCAGAAACAGACTCCATGAGGGTGGTATGAGGGCCCGACGTCCACAGGTGAGGGTTGTGCTTACAGCCCAACACCGTGCATGACGTTTGGCATTTGCCAGAGAACACCAAGATTGGCAAATTCGCTACAGGCGCCCTGTGCTCTTCACAGATTAATTAATTCAGATCTAGCATGTGTTATTTTTGTGTTCCATTTTTTTTTTTTTGCAGTGTATATATTTATCAAATTACAATTAATATTGAAAATAAAGTAAAACTATAGTACCCCGTAAACAAGAACTGTAGCTCCCAATAGTGCCCCCCTCTGTCAAGGGATCCCTTCCTGTGGTGCAGAAGGGGTTAAAAACCCCTTCTTTCACTCACCTTGTTACAGCGCCGATGTCCCTCGGCACTGGTTTATGCTCGCTTGCATTGGATCTGCAATGCTTGCATTAGTATTTACCCCATAGGAAAGCACGCTTTCCTATTGGCATTTGGGTGACGCTGGATGTCCTTATGCATAGCGTGAGGACAGCCAGCATCAGTTAAGTGACCAAAAGTTGCCTAACGACCCAGAAGTCCCTCTAGTGACTGAGGGTTAAAGGGACTCTCCAGTGCCAAAACAAACCATTTTCCTGGCACTGCAGGTCCCTTCTCCCTCCCACCCCCCATCCCATGTTGCTGAAGGGGTTAAAACCCCTTCAGTGACTTACCTGTATCCAGCTCCGATGTCCCTCGGCGCTGGTTCAGGATCCACCCACACTCCTCTCCAGCTGACGTCATCTGGCGGGGGAGACCTATTGCGCATTCGCGGCCGGCGACAGGGGAGACCTAATGCACATCTGCGGCAATGCAGCGAACGCGCATTAGACCTCCCCATAGGAAAGCATTGAAAATGCTTTCCTATGGGGATTTCAGCAACGCCGGAGGTCCTCACATAGCATGAGGACGTCCAGCGACGCTATAGCACAGAAAATCTGTGCTATAAACTCGGAAGAGCCCTCTAGTGGCTGTCTAGTAGACAGCCACTAGAGGATGAGTTAACCCTGCAAGGTAAATATTGCAATTTATGAAAACTGCAATATTTATAGTTGCAGGATTAAGGGTAGTGGGAGTTGACACCCAGACCACTCCAATGGGCAGAAGTGGTCTGGAGTGTCCCTTTAACTC